CCCCACACCCTGCCCCAGAGTCTCTTGACCCGCCCCCAGTACCTCTGCAGTTTCTCGTGATGATGACCATACCACTCATCCGAGGGCGGCCGCACCTGGTTGGTTTTCATGCAGGCGCGAGCCCCCAATGGTGACAGTGTCCCTCCAAGATCTGAGCGACCCTTCCACTGAATCATTTCTTCACCATGGCCGTTGACTTGCAGCCGCTACACCGAGGTATCTCCTCCTCCCGTCCTGCCCTAGCCCACACGCCATACCACTCCAGCACTTCTTTGCATGGAGCGGGAGAGTCGCAATGATGAAGGTTGCTGCGCCCAATGGACTAGCTCGAGGGTTCGTCATGCCGGGCTGGCCATCTGGTGCGCGGAAGCCTTGAAGCAGACCTGAGCGACTCGCACCCCATTCGCAAGCTTGCGCCATGATACCTCAATAATTCTACTAATCTCCTGGCACAGAGATGCGTGCTGACACACGAGCCCTTTCGCCTCCCACAGATACTTAGACTGCTCCAAGAGTCCGGTATGTCAGCCTCCAGCAATTTCTCATCTCCTCCTCCGCGCGTGAAGAATGGCTGGCTGTGATGAAAACGTCAGATTTTTCTCCAAGGCGCAGTGCGTCCGGTGGGTTTTCATGGAAGCCGGCGCCCACCCAGCGAGCAGCAATCTTGACCTGCTCTGAGCCACACCCTCAGCCCCCTTTCATCCTTCCATTTCCCCCAACTGGTGGACAGTGACTGGCTATGATGAAGTCAGGTGCTGCTCCAAGGTGCAGTGTGTCCGGTCGGTTTTCATGAATCCGGCGCCCACCTTGTGAGCATAGCAATCTTGACCTATTCTGAGCCACACACCCAACCCCCAGCTACACCTTCTCAGTCTCTCCTCCAAGTGGTGGACAATGACTGGCTATCATGAAGAGATGACAGATACTCCTCTGAGGGTGTAGTGTGTCTGGTCGGTTTTCATGAATCCAGCGCCCACCCAGTGAGGAAAGCAGTCTTGAGCTGCCCTGAGCCACTTCCAGCCCCAATATGCAGCTTCAGTTCCCAATTCATTTTCCCAAATATGTGTAATGACGGCGATGATGAAAACAGTCAGATGCTACTCCAAGGGTGCAGAGTGTCCGGTGGGTTTTCATGCAAGCCGGCGCCCACCCAAAGAGTATAGCAATCTTGACCTTCTCTGAGCCGCGCTCCCAGTCCCAGCTACGTCTTTCCACTCTGGCGTCTTTGCTAATCTGTCGCCACTTGTATCCCAGCCCACGTCAGTCTTCGCTCCGAGCCCACGAGCAGTCTTCGCTCCCTTGTCTCTAGTACGTCAAGATTCCCTCTCTTCGTCTAGGCCAGACACCGTGGTGGGACAGCCGTTATGATGATCGAGATCATTCTGAGCTTTCGATCGCCGAGGGTGCAGTGCGCCGGGCTGGGTTTTCATGTGCCTTGCGCTACCCACTGAGTGAACAATCATTTCCAACTGAGCGGCTTTCCCGCCACTAAATGTCGGCACTTTGACATTCCTTGATTCTGCGCTTGTGCTCACTGGCTTCTTGTCCCCACCCAGGACCAGCGTGGACGTCCTCATATTGGTGGTGTCGGAGCAGGTCATGCGTCTACAAGCCAGCCGTCCTTCCGACATGTCTGACGCACCCTCATACCACAAGCTCAGCGGATCAGCTTCCATCCTTCTCTTCGGCAAAGCCAGCCTTGTCGCTTTCACAAAACCTTCCTCACCAAGATTCACCCCCACCTCTGGAAAGTAGCTCATGCCATTCACACTGTCCCACTGTTCTCTGTTTTCTCGCTGGGGCTCCTCACTGACCACTTCTCGCCTGCCCCCAGGCCCACTTCGCTTCGCCGCTGCTGCCCAGTCCTCCCTGGACGTGTCAGCGACGCCCCCTCGCCCCAACGCTGCTACACCCTGCTCGTACGCGAGATTCACACAAGTGCCCACTGGGCCCAACCCCCAGCGGAGACAGGGTTTCTGACGAGGTATGGCTGCTGGGATTCCAGCTTCCATCCAGCTCTTGGGTAAGTCAGTGCACCCCCTGTCTGCGCACCCCCCCTGTCTGCGCACTCTGTAGGCCCACAACATGGAATCTTCTAGAGTACTCCCGCCCTCATATTTTCGTCAATTCTGGTCCGTTTTCCTTACTTTTTTCTGCAATCTAATGCCCAAATGCCAGAGAAGCGGTATATAGAAGAAGACGTCGAGCGGGCCCTCGCTGCGGTGCGCGCGAAGGGCGGGATCCGGAGGGCTGCCCGGCTCTATGGGATACCAGAGTCGACCCTTAGGAATCGCATAAAAGGCGCCCTACCTATCCGGCAGTCACAAAAGGAGTATCAGCGGATAGCCCCTGAGCAGGAGAAGCGATTAGCTAACTGGATTTTATTGCAGGAGTCCCTAGGCCTCCCACCAACGCACGCGGAGATCCGGTTTTTTGCCGAGGATATCCTCCGCAACGGAAGGCCCTCCCAGCCGCTTGGGAAGCACTGGCTACAGGCTTTTTTAGGCCGATATCCAAAGGTTAAAAGCGGAAGGGCCCGGCGCATCGAAAACGCACGTGTTCAAGGGGCTACTACTGCTATAATAAAGCAGTGGTGGGAACGCCTCCTTATCCCGGAGGTGGCCGCTATCAAGCCGGAAAACACGTATAACGCCGACGAGGGTGGCTTACAAGAGGGAAGGACCGGCAACGGGATCGTTTTAGGCCTCGCTGGGGCCCGGGCCTTGCAACGTAAGGACCCTGGGTCACGCACCTGGACCTCCTTTATCGAGTGCATTTCGGCCACGGGTGTATCATTGCCTCCCCTCATTATTTTCAAAGGAAAAAACGTGCAAGAGCAATGGTTTCCTGCAGATCTGGCCCCCTTTCAAGGGTGGGAATTCACTGCTACAAACAACGGCTGGACCAACGATCGTACGGGCTTGGAATGGCTGCAAAAGGTCTTTATCCCTCGCACCAAGCCCTCCCCTCCTGCCCCTCGCCTTTTAATTTTGGATGGGCACGGGTCGCACGTTACCACAAAGTTTATGCTTTTGTGTTTCCGGAACGACATTTTCCTACTTTATTTGCCTGCCCACTCGTCCCACGTACTGCAGCCTTTCGACCTTGCCGTGTTTAGCCCCCTCAAACAGGCATATCGGAAGGAAATCGGGTTTAAAGCCTTATTTACCTGCTTAACGGTGGTAAGAAAGCGCCAATTTTTATCCGCTTATCACCACGCACGATCCGTAGCCCTAACCCCCCATATAATTTTATCGGGGTGGCGGGCTTCCGGCTTGTGGCCTCGCAATATAGCCAAACCCTTTATAAGCCGCTTTGTTCTTGATGGTGGCCCAGACAGCCAGCGAGACCAAATTCAACAATTTGCAGAGGATAACAGGGCCAAAAGACGTTCAACGATCCTATCCCGAACGTCCCAAGTGCCATGGGAGACCCCCAAGCGATCGAGAGAGTTGGCCACCCAGATCAGCACTATCAAGGCCCGCCTTCCCGTAAGCCCTACAACACGACTATTCTTCAGAAAGCTTCAAAAAAGCTACAGCGGGCACGAATATGATCTGGCTGAGGCCCGGCAAAAAATCAGGCAGTTGGAAGGCCAACTGGAGGCACTGCAGCCTCGCAAAAGGAGAAAGGTGGCCGCGGATCCCAACGAGGCCTTTGTGAATATACACCGGGTTGCAGCGAGAAGGGGGGAGGTTTTGGAGGAGGGAGATAGTGCATCTGAAAGCCCGGACGAATCTGATCAGGAATCAGTTTTGTCTTGCATCGAGGTTGCTTGAATAGAGGTAGAAATTTGCAGTTGAATGCAGTAGGTTGGGTGGTGATCGGACCTTACAGAGTGCGCAGACAGGGGGGGTGCGCAGACAGGGGGTGCACTGACTTATTCTCCCTCCACAAGCAACACGCTCTCGCTTCCAGGCCCTCCGCAGATATTCCGTTCCCGGTCATCACGGCTATTTTCACTGGTAGGACACACCCACCCCCGTACCCCAGGACCATGATGGCGGTGGGAGCGTTGCGATGATGACAGTATTATACTCCCCGAGTAGACCGCCACTGTGAGATGAATCAGAAACCTCTTTTTGAGCAATGCACCACCGCCATGCTTGTCTTCATACATCCATCGGAGTCCGAGTTGTGTCTCCCAGCCCGCTGACCAGCCGAACACTCCTACTGGCGGTGGTGTATACAGACCAACGATATCTCCTCCCCTCCACTTCATTCATTTACGGTAAGTCAACCCTACATCAGCACCCTTTGGAGTTGCTCGCGTTTGGAGTCCACAGTGATTACAATCCTTCATTATCCTTGAGTGGAAACATAACCACCATGAAGACTTTTGTTCTTAACCATCTGAGTGGCGCTCCCTGTCGCACGTGCTTGTGTCATGCATCTGCAACCAAGCTCAGCCCTGTTTGTCTTGCCGAGGGAGAAGTAGACATTTGCTAATTAGTGTTTGTGCAGGCAATGCGACTTGCGACACTTCTCATCCCCAAACTGACTGGTAAGCAGCCCCCGTTCTCAGAAACAGACTCCCCCAGCAAGGGCGTCACGGTGATGATAAAGGTATATTTTTAAGTGGCAAGACCACATTGAGAAGCCATTAGCTCTTCTAAGTGACACTCCCATTACCCGCCCCGACTCTGTGATTTTGGGCTCGTATTCCTATGTTCATGACCCGTTCAGTTCGCAAGACATTCACTGACGCTCTCCTTTATGGCTCGCCAGACCCAGTCGCTTTTTATTCGAAGGTAGCGACTCCCACATTTGCCACTTTGTCACGATGATGAGCCATTCGTTCTTCCCAAGTGGCTTCACCCACAATGAGGACATATCAATCTATCATCTGAGTGACGCAATCCCATTCTTCCCCATCCCCCCTGAACCTGACAGAAGTGCATTTGCTAACCATTTGGCGATTACACATGTAACCCTTTGCATGCTTTTGTCCACTTCTTTCTCTGAAGTTAAACAGCCCCCCACTCACTCCCACGTTAGACCTTACCCTCTCGCCACATTCCTTTCCCTACCCACTGGCCCTAACGTCGCGGTGATGACAACGGTGATATTACCTCAGCGGCTCAAGCCGCAATGGGTTTTTAACTGCAATATCTGAGCGGCGCATGGACTCATTTGGTTCTTCTTTTCCTGATGTCTGGCCATGGAAGGAGTGGTGTGTGCAGTTTCCAATACTGACACTTATTCTCCTCCCCAGTCGAGCGTTATCAGGTACATGGCGCCCGAGATGGCATTTACCCAGCCTTTTCTGGTGGCGGGAGGTCGCGATGATTCAAAGTTGTGTTTCGAGCGGCTTTCCCAGCTGCCGTGAAAGGTCGAAAACAAATCACTCCATCTGACCGAGGATTCCATCACCCAAAGCTCTGGCCCTGTGCCGCGGAGGCCATTTCCCAGATTGTAGACAATTTTGCTAACACGCTTCGCTTTTTGTCTCCTAGATTTGGTTAAAATCCCCTCCTGGGAGTCGTCCTGGCGCCCACCATTGTGCACTGGGACCCGGCTCCAGTAAAACGTCTAAGCGGGAGCTCGGATGCCATAGAGTCCAACAAGCTTCTCTCGATCCCACTTCCACAGTCATCTCTTACTTTCATTGCACATGCCGACGCTCTGTACAGGTAACATCGGTAACTCTTAGCTGGAGCGTTTATAACGGACAAAGGGTGCAAGATAGGGTCTATTGTATGCTTATCTAGATCTCTGAAGGGAAGAGAGGACGGGCACGAGGCCGTAGGCCTTGTGCCCTCCTTATATACAGTGATACCCCTCTCTTGCAGGTGCGGTACCCACTACCGCACCCCTGTTGTTGCCGACGAGTGCTCGGTAAGCATCTGCCCGGTGCAGCACCGGTGCCCGTGCGGATCCTCCGTGCCAAGGCCTGGAACAGTGTGCCGGCCCGTGGTGATAGCCTCCTTTGTGACAGCGTTTGATTTGGGGTTCAAGAGTACGTTCAAAGCGGTCTGGAAACGCAGGATCCGTAGCTTCATACATTCCATCCGCTACGGCACCCACAACATCAAGCAAAAGACAAAATGAGCTGACAAACACATTCATGCTTGCGACTGGGGAGTCTGGTGCTAGGGCTCATGTATTTCTGCTTTGAGGGATGTCAAGGCTTCTTCCTAATGTAAACTGGCGCGGTGGACTTGGATCTTTAGCTGTCGCCCGAAGTTTATGACTGGTGAATGATTCTCGTAGGTTATTATACTGGTCTTGTTACCGACTTGACCTCCTATGTGTGAGATGACCACTTGCCTACATACACTTCAGTGCGATGTTGACTTGCTCACAGCGAGTCAGCACATCCCCGAGCAGGGCCATCAGAATGGACGGTTGTTGCTTGGACGCAGACGCTGCGGCCACGTGGTGAAAGACAAGAAATAATTTAATCAACAGACATACTCTACTCTGCGCCTTGAAGCACTGGCAGAGCTGTAGAAACCGTCATTTTAGCCGCGCTCCGCCCAAACTTCGGCATTTTGATACACTGCTTTCACACACGCATTTCTTCTGCGCTATGTCTAAGGTTGAAGGCAGGCGTCTGTGTGTCTGGCGCCGAGAATGTAGCCGCGCACCGCACGGCCCCCACCCAATATTGCTCGAGTTGCAATGCTGGGTCTCATGCCCCATTGCACGCTGCTGCGAGTTTCAGTCTCCACATTTTGCCTCCGCGTGTCAGCGGCGAGAACTGTGGACTTCAAGATTGCGGTTCAGGTTAGGCGCTGTGCAGCCATGGCAGGGCATGACTGCTAACTGCCCGTGTTTCACACGGAAGTGGTGATAGGGACCGGAAGACGTTCAATATCGCTGAATCGATGGATGTAAACGTAGATTTAGTACATAGCTCGGGACAAGTATCCTCCACCATTGCCTTTAAGCGTCAAGGATCCCCTTCTTGACTTACGCAGAGCCCGGGCCCTAGTGGGGCTGCAGAACGGGCCTGGAGCTGCGCCAGATTCGAGCTCAGCAGACGTGCCAGTCTGGAGCGGTCGCGGTGCAACATGGGGACTCCATACTCGTAGCTCCTTCCTCCTTGGACTCTGGGTTCACGCAAAAGCACTGGCCATGGGTCCTGCCACCGCCTTCAGAATGTCCGCAGCAGGCGGCAGAATATGTTGCTTGAGCCACAGATATTTATGCCCTCCCTCGAAAGAAACCCTTTCTTCCGTTCGCACCAAAACATTAGCCAGCGCTTCTTTTCTCAGAATCTCGCACTCTGACCGAACATCGCAAGCCAGAACTCCTGCATAGCGCTACACATTTGAAGCAAAGCAGCCATCTAGTTACATCCTCCTTCTTTTCACGCACGAAAAACAGTCTTGCAAGTGCATCCCGCCGTCAACCAACCATTTGCAATTGTCTACTACGGCCTGGTCGAGAGATACGACAGCGGTTACTAGAAACATCTCGCATCGCCAAGTATCGCGAAACCCGTCAGCGAAGCGGCAGATACCATCAAGCCCTCGCTGTTGCGATGTCCTCGAAGACTCGTCAAGGTACGCAAGATATCCACCTGTTACTACATCCTTGCCTCTGCATTCTGGCCGGGTGACCACTAACTGATTCACCTGTACTCGTTCAAAGTCTCCTCAGCCCCGCCGTCGCGCATGTGCAAACGAGTCGATGAAGTAAAAGACCCGCCAGAACTGGTAGCTGAAGATCACTGCTTCTTGGCCAAGATCCGAAGAGCATCTGGAGACGCCCAGCCGCTGGGGACGTTGAAAAGCTGAAGCAATATGAAAAGCACGACCGCGGACCTTTTGCACCCACACTCAGCCTGCTGGGTATCACATCGCACCCGGCGGTACTCCAGCTGGCATGCCTTTCCGAGCGTCATTTCACCACTCACTTTTACTTTCATTCGAATATTTTCCTCCTGGCCGCAATCTCGCCACCTGCGGCGGGAAGCACCCCATCCTCTTTGTCTGCTCCCTCACTCCCCCTCTCTCCCTCCTTCCCTCCGCAAGCGCTCCCGGTCAGAGGACGAACTCTCGAGCCTTGTCTCTGCAGCGCCCGTCTCGAGCCCCGAGAACGCCGACCTTGGCAGCCAAGCTCACACGTTTGCCTCTCGGCAACAAGGCCGACCGGCCGCCAGCCATGTGCGGGCCCTGCGCCGTTTGCGGTATAGCCGCAGCCGAAAGGCATTCCCTGTCGCACGAGCCGCAAGAAGGGCAAGAGCTGGGTGGGCGACAGCGATGTGAAGGACGATGGCGCACCCTGCCAACCGGCGAGAAGCAAGGCGCGGGCATCGAGTTTGTGATGGCAGGCGAGGAGCAAGACGGAGGAATCGAATATGTGATGGCGGGCGAGGCGTGAGCCGGATACATGTTTGCTTTGCATTGTCTCCAAGGGCTTTGCCATAGTTTAGAAAGCTCGAATGGAAGGCCCTGCGTAGGAGTTTTGGAGTGTAAATCTTTTCCGCTGGCATACGAAATCGTAACCCAGTACTAGCAATAACCCGGCGCCCCAGTTGTTAGCTTAAAAGCGCCGGCGGGATGGTTGTGAACTGCGTAGTATAGGTGCCGGCCTCGTCGACTTAGCTTTACCCTCAGCCGGGCGAGCTTATGCGGTGTTCAGGCCGTCCCAGTTTCTCCAGTTCAGTGCCACACATATAGCCAGGCGTATATCGGTGCTCGCCTGCTCACTCTGGGTTCGGTATAGCTATAGGTTCGGAATGTGTGGGCTTAAATCGGCTTCCTTGCTGCCAGCGATGGGCTCCTGGCGCGTCTGCAGGTTTGGCGATGGCCCGTAGGATAGGCTGGGACCCATGCTGCATCCAGCACACGTTTTCTCGTCGAAGGATTCCCCGCTGTCGGGTGCTCTGCTGTGTTGCGATGTCAACCTTGATATCTACGATAAGCCAGGGAGAACGACAGACAAACTAGCACCTCAATCTGTCGCAAGGTAAGTGGATTCTAGCCCAGGGACTACGAGACTGTGCCGTTCTCATGGGCCGAGTTCTCGTGAGAAGTCCTAGGACGGCCTCTTTGAGGTCACCCAGTCCTCAGTAGCTCTATCGAACACCAGTATATAAAGCCCCAGTGCTTGCCACCCTTAGCATGTTCCTCACCTTAGAGGTGGATGTTTATGAAGCTACCCATCTACTGCACGCACTACTTCTTGGCAGTACATCTTCCAAGGCATGGTGTCCTGGCGTGGATCTGGGGCCGAAAGCATTTGCCACTTGCGCCAAGCTCACTATTCTTGCTTGTGTCTACGCAGCGAGATCACTCTGTGATAGGAGGAGGTGTCAGCCTTGCATTATTGCCGCCATTCATGCAGTATACTCTAATGACATTTCAAGGTCCACTCCGCAACCCCAGTCACCAAAACCTAACCTATAAGTCAATCGGGTACCGCCATCGGTAAGTTGTTGGTATGCTGCCACTGACAGTAATGGAAAGACAATTAGCAGGCGATCTGGGCCAGGTGGCAGTCTCCTCCTCTCCTCCTCTCCTCCTCTCCCCACCCCCACTCTGTCATGCTCTGAAGGCCTTGGGCCGGGCGCCGCACCGGTGGTGTTGTACCGGATCCTCGTCCGTGGCCAAGGTCGGGGCACCTTCCAGCTCGGCAGCCTCCTTCGTAACGGGCGGCTCGAGGTGCGGCGCCCAACCAGTTGGAGATTGTCGAAGATCCAGAAAGTAAGGTAGTGACGAGAAATACTGATACAGGGCTCTTCTAGGCCCAGCCAGGGTGAGTGTTGCGGCGGGTGCGGTTGTCCGACCGAGCAAGGGAAATGTGGTGATGCAGCTGTCGGGCTTGTGAACCCGCGAGATCGATGTCGGTGGGTATATGAGAAAGGAAGCCCGGAGTTGGGCTGACGCCGAGGGTGACGATGTTGAAAGAATGAAGGGATCTGCGAGATGGGCGGATCGGCAGGAATCAGATCAGCTATGGCTCGATACTCTTCCATGGTTGGCATCTGTCTGGACGAGAGAAGATGGCTAAAGGCTGTCGAAGGGAAGATGGTATGCGAGAATGAAGGTTAGCTGTACTTACAAGTATCTGTGTTTGATACGTATACATAAATAGGTTGGTAGGTTGGTATGGATAGGAGATGGCTATGAGAGGGTTATGGTGGTGCTGTTGATGTTGACAAGCAGAGTCTGGAGTGGGGGATGGGATCTGGCCAGGTTTTGTGTCTGCCGGTTGCTGGAGAATCGGGAGAGCGCTTTGTTTGCTGGGCCTGAGCAGCTGGCAGGAACATGTGGGGTTTGGATGTAGCAGTCACTGTCCAAAGAAGCTCAGAGCGAGGGAAGCGGAACTGACGGTCAAGGGGGGCTCTAGGATCTGGAAGGCTGCACTTGGGCGAAGAGGAAGGGACTTGGCTGAGGCCGAGGATGAGAGATGATTGCAGACGGTATCTGTGGCTTGGTGGCCCTCACCTCAACGCAGGAGCTACGCAAAGGCGGGGTGACGCGGTCACGAGACCTCAAAAGCTCCCTCGGTAGAGAGCCATCTGTCGTCGTCTTCGCAGCTGCCGCACCAGACTGTGGCTAGGTAGCTACCTACCTGCTTACCAATCCAGGTACCTAATCCGTGTTGGGCTCTGAGATTTGTCAGCTCAGTGATGCCTACCCCGCCCGAGCAGCGGTTGTGGTACCTCCCGCCCGCAAAAAGCACGGAAGTGATGGTCAGCCTGGGACACTGGCCTCAGGAAAAGCGCAGAATCAGCATGACGTAAGACACCAAGGCCAGATGCTCGATGAATAGAGTTTCTTGTGCCTGCCACTACAAACTCGATCTTTGCATCAACTCCTTCTCGGCTCACCGGGCTGGACCACTGGGCACACAAGTGAGTACCACGAAGCCTCTCGCTGATCTCTTGGATGGCACTTTCCCTTTGTGTCGCTTCTTCTTGGGACACGTGTGGAGTGGGCATGCTGACCAGGATTCCACACTTGATGCATCCCTACGATTGGAGGTATGTATACTAAGATATGAATCAGATGCTCTAGAAGATGTTCCAGCTCTGGGGCAGGGGGTGGTTGATCTCTTTATGCTTCTCAGATGATAGAGATTGAGGATATGGGCTACTAGGTGAGGGAGAGTCGTAGCCCGCTGAAGAACTAAAAGGCGAATCTATCCGTCGAACGATGTGTGACAATGCCAGCTGAACCTTCTAGATCCAAAAGAAGCAGTGAGAAATCCGGCATTCTCAGAGAAGCCTAAACAAAAGTACACCTTCACGTTCAACCTGAAGCCTGACACTGACACTGTTTCCCAGTCTCCTCGTTTTTGCTTTCTTCACTTTGTCCTCCTTTCGCTGACTCTCCTTGCCGCATTGCGCCTAGGCACCCTCCGCCGCTGACCCGAAGCAAGTGCCGGAAATTCCGTCCGGATGATCGAAGCGTGGCTGCATCGGCTGGCCTTGGACTCCAGTCGCTCCACCCGAACACAGAGACTCTGGGTCCTGAATTGGACTTGACAGGAGGCCCAGACGACGGGGGCGTCAACGAAGCGGATGGTTTACACGGAAACGACCGGGAGCAGAACGCACAAGCCATCAAAGGCCGACACTGCCAAGTGCGCCTCCTACGATACGATCCGGACTGCCCAAGACAAGTGTCATATGGTTGGGAGGCGCGGCCGCCAGGCGATCCCCATGCCGACACACGAGCTTACAGGAACGGTCTGCGCGCAGCCGCCCAAGTCTACCGACATATCCGCGACCTCCACTGGCTGAGCGCAGCAGAGCATCCGCCTAGCTTCCAGCTGGAAAAGCAGCTGCTTGGAACTTGGCTGGCAGGAAGACATAACACAGCGCTCCTGGCGGGAAGGCCGGCCTTTTTGGGGGCTGTTGGGCATGCCCGTTCCTGGTGCCACGAGCACCAGCTGTGCAGGCTTGAGCAAGCGTCGGCCAATCTCGGACCTCCGTGTGAAGCTGGGCGAGTCTGTCTTGTGGGCCGGCGAGGATGCCGAACCTCGGGTATGGCAGGATCTTGAGAGACCTCGCTGCCCATACAAAGTGGATGGATGACAAGGCCGTAGCCGCCATGCGCAGCGCCTGGTTTGCCGGCAAATTGTGCTGTACGTTCAACTCGACGGGGACCCATTCTGATGTCAAGTGCGTGCTTGGAGTGGGGTACACTGCGGCCTCAGCATTGCTGTTGGCCTGCTCGTGCAGCCGGGCTCGTCGAAGTAGGTAGTTGGTGAGCTACACCGCCAACAAGCTCGAAACGTTGGCGACATCTCGACAGGATACGAGAACGGCGTTCCAATGACCGGGCTGTGGCCACAAGTCCCCACCGTGGTGGAAGAAGTTCCGCGCGGTGTCGACATCAACATCCAGTACGATGATGGATTGGTTGTACGCGATGCTTGCACTGGCCGTGATGGTCGACCCTGAGGCCGCGCCTTCGAGGAGCCCAGCTAGGCAATCTCAGCCCACGGCTTCGTTCTGGGAAGCCTGTCTACTCATAATGACGGGCCCAGCGCGTGTGGCGGCTCCCAGACACACTGTGGACAGTTGAGATCCATTGATGACAGTCCTAAAACTACAGTAGCCAAGTTCACCGGTAGCTAATGCGCGGTTTGTGGCGACCCTAATGTGCCAAACTGTTCACCTCACTGGTACTAGGGAAAGAAAAACAGTCGCGGAATCTGTTTTCGCCCCCAACAGCTCCGCCTGCCGAGTATCGGGACAGCCGAGGTCATCAGTCGTGTGGTAGAGCACTTGGTGGTCGAGAATACTGGCTAGATGTCTAAGGAAGCATCTGGGCTGGAGGAAATGATGCCGATGTCTACATTCCCTGTCACGAGGTATCCCAGCACTCCTGTCGGGACATGTGATCCACGGTATGGACGCTTGAGTGGCCGTCCGCGCCTGCGACGGGACCGCCGCTGGCCCATCGTTGATTGGTGTTGATCCTCGAGTGCCCTATCTTTACAGCATACATGCCGCGGACCTGCCTCCCTCCCGGTCGTGCCGGCTTCCGATGCCATCTCTCGCGTTGGCTAACGCAGAAGGTGCTCTATTAAGTACTGCTCAAGATCAGCTGGCGCAGCGCGGGTGTCCCTGTCATAGGGCTACGCCACCCTAGCCACCTGCGCAGTCATGGCTGTTCATGATCTTGGGGGTATCCCGACGTGCTGATAAACGGCGGCGGGCCATTGCACACCCCCGGGACGGACGACAAGGGCAACGTCGCCGCGGGCGCCTTGGAGGACACATTCGGGCCGATCGCTCAGTCTCGCGCCGTCATGTTCGCCGCTGTTTCGCCTCTCTCTCTCTCGCCTTCTCCCTGAAAGGCTAATAAACCTGCGCTCTGTGTGGTCGAGGCCGCCCGCGACGGCTGGGGCGGCGATGGTTCTCCACTTTTCTCTGGGAGGACGCCTTCAACAATCATCAGGGGACCAAGACACATGTACGAGGACGGGGATATGGGAGAGGCTTGTCGACTTCTAGTCCGCCAATATCGTGTATATCGTTTCTGGGGTTGGACAGGCAGGCATCGCCTTAATTTATCGTCAGATACAAGCCGGATATCATCGCCCTCCCAGTAAGGCTGGCGGAGGCCCAAACAACCCGTTTGGGCCGGGGACCCATTTAGGTAATTGGTTTTTGGGTTTGGGTCCATCTAGGTAATGGGTCTAAAATCTGGGTAATTTTTGGGTCCAAGCAAAAAAATTGGGTCCAAAACGTTACAACCCTTGCTATTACCTTTAAATTTTTTACTTTTACAAATAATTATAGTAAAAAAAAAACACGCACGGGCCCTTTATTAATTTGGGTACCCATTGGGGACCCAAATTACCCAAAACCCAAAGCGCTAAGGACCCGTAAACGGGTCCCCATTTGGGTTTTTGGGTCCAAGCCGGACCCAAAACCCACGGGTCCAAACGGGGACCCGTTTGTGGGTTTTCGCCAGCCTTACCTCCCAGACCTCCCCACCATAGTCGCCCGCTTCACATCCGATTTCTCGTCGGTGCGCCCACGTCTCTCCTGATGGCAACGCTGCCGCCGATATAGATAATCTGGGATTTGTAACAAGCCATTTCCTCCAGTTTCTCCACTCCACGGTAGTCTGGCCTCAGCGGCAGACGTCTTGTGCGCGCAGGTGGTCCAATTCATACACCATCTTCGCGGTCGGTCCAGCAACTTCCACCTCGCTTGTCTGCTTGTCTGAGTGGCGCGGGTGACGCCTATGCCGACTTATCCGCGCAGATTCCGTCGCGCTCTTGGAGGACCTGAATAGCCAACGTGTTTAAGAAGCTTGTTAGCCTTTAGTCCCAGTTTAGAATCTTGAAGCAGCGAAGCAAAACTGCCAGCAGGCGCCAGGTCCTGGAGGCAGTGTCCGTCGACGAGACTTACCTGGTGCTAGCGTGTGGGAAGGTGTTCTAGGATGCTGCTCGACAAGCGGGAAGAGACCTTATCCCCCGACTGTAGTCAGAATCAAGTAATGGGTGTTGAGTGGGTGCTCTAGCTTGGAGCGGGGCCCATGGTGAATACCATGTTCTGTTTTTGGCTAGCTCGATGACACCGATTTCCGCCAGCTGATTTTGTTCTCGCGGAAATCGGTGTCGTCGAATCTTTGAACGCACATTGCACCCGCCGGTATTCCTCGGTGAATGTTTTGTCGAGTGGTGGTTCGTTGGTGGTGAAGCCAGGCTGCAACTCAACCTCGGGAGGTGGGGGAACGGGGTGGCAGCATGTCCTGGCAAGCGTGTCAGGCTTATGTAACCCCACACACGATGCTTGGAGGGCTCCTTCCACCGGAGAATGGCTGCCTCCAGGGAACCCATAGGCTTCCTGATACTTCATCGTTCTCTTTCCCCTCCAGATCACAGCAATGTCCCTCCCAGCCTTGTCCCTGGGAAGAAGTCACCCACTCCATTCCAGGTACATCCAGCCACAGCCCCTCCCCTACCAGGCCAGGAACATACCACGAGAAGCCACTGCAAGGTGCACTAACTTTCCATCGTCCTTCTTGCCCCTTTCCCCTACCGAATAGGCCGCGGGGTGCGGATACTTGCTGACCATGCGCTCGAAGATCCTGCAGCATGGAGAATTTTAGACGGCGCCCAGCCACGACCTTTCCGCTCGATCTGGCGGCTACACTCGTGCGAGGAGACGAGAAAGAGCCTGCCGCGATTTCTACCTGCCCCGTAGCGACGGCGAAGTAACCTCACACTGCGGTCTAGGCAACGGGCACGGTACTCCTGACATAGAGGCCACGGTTCCCAGCGAGACAACGGTCGTACTCCCTCCGCCCCTTCTGTCAAAGCTCTTGGGTCCCTATCTCTAACCAGCGCCCTGGTCACAGTCCTAGCACAGCCAAACCTGTCGCCGCAAGCGGCCGTGGATACCACCCCGTCCATGTTCCTTCCGGCACCCCTCCTTTCATAGTGGAAGGAACGCACGACCTTGCTCACGCGATAACTGCATCAGCGCCGGGCATTCAGCAGGCGGCAATCTCTCTCCCACGTTCTATACGGCAACTACAGCGATTGTTAACGACCTTGAGCTAGCGAAGAGAAGCGCCTCAGTCCCACAGTGGATGAGTGTCTCATGGCCGGCACTTCGACTAGGAGACACAGGACGGGCTATCGGGGAGCTATAGGAGGCGGCTGTCAGTCGCGGCGGATACACAGAGCAGCGGCTATTTGGTGAAAGCGGACGCTGGATATTCCTTGTCCTCGCCGGGGGAGAATAATCTCGGGGGCTATAGCGTGGCCTAGTAGGCCCGATGGGGTAAACGGGCCAATGGATCCTTTGTGGGAGGAACGGCCATCAAGCCCAGCTAGCAGGTCTTCTCACTAGGCGATGGAGAACAAAGCTCTGAATCCTACTATTCTTTAGGAGAACCGCAAAGACAGCTTGGACGGAAACTCGCTGCAGAGTGTCTGGGTAGTCCAGCAGGCGATACAAGATCAAAAGCAGTGAATACGTGGATTGAGAATGTGCTAGCTCCCAGCTGTCCAATCTTTTCTCGTTCTCTGCCCTGCGGAACACAATGGCTGTCTACACGAGCATCACCGTCTTCTCCTGCGCCCACAGCATTGTATCCTGCTTTCCATTCACCACGCCCACCCGCTCGAAGACGCCGTCCGAGACTTCCCGGAGCACCAGGCTGAAGAGCAGCCAGAATCCCGTGATGTGCTTCTGCCGCAAGGGCAGAACCCAAGCCACGCCTCCACACTTTTCCATCTGCTCATAGTCATCCACCATCACCGTCATGGTCATCATGCCGCGATCCCCGGTCCCATCTGTGCCTGCAGCGTGGATTCGCCAATACAGCCTGTCCGTCCGGCTTTTGTCATTGGGTGGAATCAGATCGTCGACAGCAGTAACCTTGACACCGGCTGGGATGGACTCCAGCCGCTCGCTGTGCGTCGATGTACCAACAAGGCGCGGCACATCATCGCTTTTGTAGACCCTGCTGCGCACGGGGCGGCCTCTGACGACCAGCTTCGCGTCTGGAGAGCCGTCGAGCGCCGACCTGCCGACCCCCTCGACGCTTAGAAGCTCCACCTCGTCAACAACGTCGTCGACAATATTCTCATAGCCCACGCCGTAGGGCAGCCGCCCCTCCCGCGAGCTCGGGTCGGGCGGCGTGTGCTCCAGACGGTGCTCGAGGCAGGCCCAGGACCACGACGGGGCGCGCCTGACCGAGATCCGGCGCCTCTCGCGCCAGTACTTGCCCGAGCAGTCCCACTCGAGCCCCTCCAGCATCCGGCTTCGCCACAGGCCGGCCACGTACGTGTCGTCGAGCAGGCCGGCCATGCGCGCCGCGAGCGCCGCGATGGCGGGGAAGCGGTCCGACTCGAAGGTCAGCGCGCGTCGCGAGTAGTCCTCGACCACGCGCTGCCAGAGCGTATACGCACCCTTTCTGTCCGCCCGACTCAGTCTGCGTCCGCTGGTGGCTGCGGCGTCGGACAGCTCCCTGAGCCGGCGGATCCTGCCGCCGGCAGCTGAGAGGGAGTAGTCCCTGCCCGAGTTGCTGCCCAGGGCGTCACCGAGGGATTTGGGGCTGTCGGGGGGCTTGGCAATGCCGCCGGGGCAGGACTCGGAGGCTGCCATCTCGGCGCAGTCGAAGGAGATCCAGTACGAGTCGAAGAAGAGGGTGCGGAGGGGGAATATGCGCTCTTGCAGGATCCAGCCTCGGCTGTCGAGGTGAGATGGCGGCGCTTGCAGCCTGGGGGCTAGATCGAGCATGAGCTTCTTGGTGTAGGGCACTAGGCCTGGGATTTGAAGCGAGGCGGGGAGCTTGAAAGGTGTCGTCGCACGCCCATCCCTGGTCCGCCAGAGGCCACCGACGCTCTCCGCCGCCGCGGCAACGTTGAGTACCGCGTTCTCATAGTAATCTGCCATCAGGGGTATCTCGTTTGCCTTGTCCGCACCCGAGTCTTGCAGGATGCACAGAGAGTCGATCCAGAGATGGCCGATCGCTAGCTTGCGCGTAGTCACGCAGGCCTCTGCAAAGGTCCTCGATAGCTTGCTGATATGGATACCTTTGCTGCCGAGCTCGTCCTGGTTGGAGGTCGTCAGGGTGCAGGGATTGTCTGGCGTCCAACGGTGGCTAAGTGTGGCGTACTCAGTAGCCCGGGCCAGAGTAGCAGTCTTGACCACGAGGACGACCCCCTCAGGCCCCAGTGCATGTGAGAGATCAAGAAGACGAGTTGGTAGGATGCTGCCGGCCTGTGACCCCCATGTCCCCTGACAGCTCTTGTGGCCCTGGCGGCATGTGTTTATCCACCGCGCTGCGAGATGCATGGCCGCATCGCTCCCCGTTGAGTCGTCTATGGCCGTTGCGGTGCCGAGCGTTGATGGGCATGGGCCAAGAATAGCCGTCTCCTGGGCTATGCGCTTGGCTCCCGCAGAGCTAGCGAGCCCCTCATCAAGCTGCTGGTGGTACCCCTGAGCCCACCTCCCTTTGCTCAGGACCTCGGGCTGGCCTATCTTGAGAAAGTCGGATCCCAACGGGTGCATGAAGTGGACAGACGTAGGATAATCAACCTCATCATCATCAAGACTGGCGAATTCCCAGTCGCTGGTCGGATACTGCAGCCAGAGCGTAATGTCTGGCGAGGCTCCTGAGGGCGGCTCGATATCCCCTCCCCATTGGTGATGGCGGACAATACCCAGCAGAGCAGCGCAGACTGCGCAGCGATTGGCCTCGGCGACATCTCCAGGGCAGCCAGATTGGGGTGAAGAACGGCCTTGAACTCCAACCCATCACCCTCGTCCACCGGCACGAAGACGACGTCGTTGCACGTCTGGCAGAGTAGCGACATCCTAGGCGGTAGTGTGACGGCGGTGGACTGGGGATCAAGATTACATGCAGCTCAGAGGATGCAGCACATTCACCCGAGCTACCTGCAGGTCCCCTGCCATTTGGAGCACGTGACCTCCCAGGGCAGCACCAACCTTGGGATATAGCCCGATATCTCTATCGCTGTCCCAGCAACCTCCAGATTCGCCAGCATCAAACCCATCACAAAAAAAGTAAGTTCTTTCCCTCGAAGCTCCCTCTTGCCAGCGTACATCACGAACAATTACCCATTAACAGTAATCACACCTCCAATATCCTCCAACACTCCCAGTACCAGTGCTAACCACCTTTGACTGGTTTATAGCCCAATCCCAGACCAGAAGTTCAAGCCCGTAAGAGTCCCTAAACAGAACGCAATATTTTCACCTGATACCTTCCTGGCCACCTACCTACATTACAAAGCTTCGCTACAGAACTAACAACTCCAAGCATCTTGCCACAGAAACAATGTCCGAGCGCAAGTACATGCCCGGCGACAAGGTGAACGGCCGCGTTCACCTTGATGGCGACCATTTGTACGAGTTTAAGGGCGTGGTGGGAGAGGGCCAGGTCCTCGATGGGAGCATTCCCATCAACGTCTGGGCCGACGCGACGTGGGGAGTGTGGAGGCCCTTCGTGGGGGAGAATCCCCTCCTCGTCTTCCCAGAGTTTCTGGAGAAGGTCGAGGAGGAGAACCTCTACGAGGGCCTCCTCCTCCTCTTCCAGGAGCGAGAGGAGGGCGACCTCCCGGTCGACTTTTGAGGTAGGTATGCCCGCCTTTGATCCCTGCACTTGCAACTTTTTTCATTCAAGCCGACGCATGGTTGGGCGTTCCTTCCCTCGAGCGCTGTCTGCATTTGCTAGGCCCACCACTCCAGCGCGTGCTTCCCTCGACCTGCCTGCCTGTAATCCATACTTCCAACCCTTCTTCCATGCCCCACCTTCCTCACTTCCTCCATTAACCCTCTGATCACCGCTGTGAGGGTTCGGCGACTCTGGAACAACTCCATCCGATAACGAATCAGCACGAGAATACTGAGCCCAAAACTGACCAAGACCCCAAGCCAGCTCGAGTAGCATGAGTTCAGCGCCGGGCCGCTCTCCATTCTACAGAGCGCCGTGTGCAGCCGCGCACAGGTCCTAATATCGATCCGCAACAACCGGAAGCTGCTTGCGCGTGTCAAGGCGTTCGACTACCACTGCAACATGGTGCTGGAGAACGTCAGACTCGATCTCACTCCACAATCTCACTCCCGCTTACAGACAAGAATAATCACCTTTCGTCACAATGAACCCGTCAGAGCCCAGCTGCCGGATCTTGGGAACTTTGGCATCGAAAAAAATATACTCGGTCACATTGCCTTCAGCGACAACCGCGACAATCTTCAGCAATGGATCCAAATCCACGCTGTAGGAGTCTTCAACTCTCGCACGCAAGAATGGGAGAGATTCACCGACATCAACCCTGTGTGGTGCCTGCGGAAGGATGTGTGGTGCGTTCCCCAGATTCCTCGGTCTCTTCGGGTATGTAATGCAAGTCTGCATTCTCTATTACATCCCTACGCAGCAGTACCCCGAACCACATTCAAGGTGTCGCCTGATAACCACCACGTCACCCACCACCGCTCCTCAATATGCTCCTACGCAGCATCTGACTGCACACGTCTTGTGTATAAAAGGCTTACATCCTCTCGTTACAGACACCTATCCCCCGCTCAGCGTAGCACGGTGGTCACTTTCAACCCGCTCAAGTCTCGCCATACCATCAGAGTCCCAAATCCGACTTCAAATCCTATTTCCTTATCATCGACTGGACACCGGAGCCAACTTGTGCAACTTCCCCACCCCCCAACAACATTTCCTTGCCGGCTAGACGCCTAACCCGACTTCCACCGCGTTTTCTCTTGACCCAACTGCTTGATCGCCTCGCCATGTCAGCACCATATCGCCTTGTGGCTGGGAGGCGTGTAAGAGGGCACGCCAGGCATTTCAACGATCCGAATCGTCGGGCGCTTCTTGAGGGCAGTGTCGTCAATGACGATCCCCTTGAGGGCCACCTACTCAACTTGGTCAAGATCAACGCCGACCATTATCTCGACATCGCCTCCGGCCAGTGGATTCCTATGGTGCCTGCCGAGGTCTGGATTGAGAGACTTACTCTCGTTCAGCCGCTTCGTGACGGGTCGTGGCCGTAAATTCAGTCGTCTGATGAAGCCATGCCGGCAGGTTCAAGACGCCGGACGCATTGCCATCCAGTGCGTAATGTCGTTTCTCTCGCGGCATTCCTTTTCACGAGCAGTGCCATTCTCTCAGTCGTTTATTTGGTTTCTTCGTCTCTAGCCCATTCTTTTTAGAATTCACAAAATCTGCCGCGGGGGCACAAAAGCATTTGAGGTGTTACTCCTCATCAATCTCGTCCCTTTATGTGTACCATGTGTGTTCCCAATCGTATCAGTCTAAACGTGCAGCTGTTCCATCGTACCGTATCACACCCGGAAGCCGGTATCACAGCTGGCAAGAGTCCAAGGTCTCCACAGGTGCGTGAACCGTGTGATGTAACCAGCCGCAAAATATGTACAAATAGGGGTAGACATCCCAGATCTCTCGGCGGGTGAGTGCTCTCTTCCCCACATTCATCTACCAGTGCGCCGTCTTTAGCTCCTGCGAGCAGTCGAAAGCAACCAGCGCACGCATCTTTCTCAAAACAACTCGAGTATGGTGTTCTACACTGCCGGCGACTACGTGGAGGGCAGATGGACCAACCCACACGGGATAAGAATGATGATTCGCGGGGCGGTCGACATCAGCGACAGCCGTAACTACCTAGAGCAAAAGGTTTGGGTCGGCGTCGAGTGGTTCCGGGAGCTGGCCACCCATGACGCGCACGCTGGCAAGTGGAAGCGTGCCGATAGAGAGCCGGGCATCCACGTCTGGAGGACAGAGATGTGGCGGATCCCGCGCCCCGTGCTGGTTAGACCCCAGGAGTTCTTGGTTGGCGACATCAGGAGATGGAGGAGGGACAGCGAGGCGAAGAGGAATGCCTAGTAGCTCACGCTGCAGTGGCTAGCAATTTTGAAGGATCGGTGAAGACAAGGGCAAGGAATTGTCAACAATAGTCGCATGATGCAACGAAGGGCAAGACGCACCCATTGAATATCACATTCTGTAGCTGTATAAATAGAGCTCCATCCCTCCACAGATGCTCCCCCGTCTATGATGTTTTCTATCTCAGCAACAGCAACTGCGGCCTCTACAACCCCTCCGCCTCGAGAACCCAAAAAGCGAAGATGGCTTCAAGTAGCCAGAGAACAGGGCGCCCCTTCCCAGAATCAGAGGAGGACGCCGCGGCGACAGCATACAAGCTCGGCGATCGTGTCTATGCCTGGTGGACAGGCGTAGACAATCTGTCCTATTTCGTTTCCGGCTACGTCGAGTTCAGCGACAACCCCGAGGATATGGATGACATGGTGTGCATCCAGGCGACGCATTCTGCCGATCCCCCCGAGAATGGCAATCTGCCGGTCTGGGCTCTCAGCGGGCACAAGCCGTTGCTCAGGGTGTGGAGGAAGTTCACGTCAAAGAGTCCGCCGTACGGACAGGCCATTCCGCCCCCTCCACCCAAACTCAAATCCAAACACAAACCATCCACTTAAGCTCCCTTCAGCCCTCACCTGCAGGTGATTTCCTCGAAGCCAATTTCTTCTTTGGTACATGACAAGCTCTTGAATCTCCTTTCTTGTCTAGACCTTGGAGTCCAACGCCGTACGGGGGTTGACGAGGGCAACAGAATGGGGTTGGGATGGAGCTCCTGCTGGTGCAACGTACGCACCAGATTTTGATATGAATACCAGATACGACCGCTCATCGAAAAACAAAGAGATTTTGCAAGAAGCTGATGCTCGTCTGTGTTGCTCGGCTGACTGGCTCAGTCAACTCGGTGCTGACAGTAATGTCGATTTGAGGCTGAGTATGTCTGGTAAAAGTGAGGGCACTTTGAAAGTGTACATTTGCGGACGAAGTTGATGGCTCCGTCAGCGGGATATTGGCTGAGACGGCTGTGTAAGTACTGATGCAGGGTATTAGAGAAAACCCCTCTACGTTCTTTCCTGGACGCTAGGACCCAGCAACTCCACACCTGAGCACGACAGCCCGAGAGCCAAGAGCAAAAAGAACGACAGAAAAAGCCCAGCAACAGAGCAAACAAGAAACCAGCCACCACCAACGGCAAAATGGCGTCCGAATACCCCGACTCTGCCCACAAGCCCATGTACAAGTACAGCGTGGGCGAGAAGATCAAGGGCAAGATGCAGAGCCCGAGGAACCACCGGCTGTGGTACAGCATCAAGGGCGAGATCGCCGCCGAGGACGACACGGACGACCTGTGCGTGCAGGTCGCCGTGGACTGGTACCGCGTCCGGCTCGTGGACCGGGAGATCAAGATGGCCGAATGGATGGAGTGGCCCGCCGGCGGCTGCGTCTGGGTCTTCCGGGACTACATCTCCCGCATGCCCGCCGAGGGCGAGCCCGAGTCGAGCGACGAGGAAAAGAAGCTCTCCGCCAAGGCCGCTGGGAAGAGGAAGGTGCGATATACAACATTAGGAGCACATAACGTTGCGGTCGAGTCACTTGTCCGAAGCTAACGATATCTTCACGATCCCCAGGCACTAAGAATTTGAACCTGTAGGTCAAGACGTTCATGATAGGCATGGCATTCTGAGTCCAGCTAACCAGAATAAAGCAGAGCCTCAAGTGGCGATTGCCCTGGCTAGAAGGGGAGGGAGGGGGACCGGAGAACGGGTGGCAGAGTGGGAGGAGACGGCAATAATCAAACATCACGGGTTTACAGCCCAAACATGCTTCCAACTCCCTGTGAACGTAAACTAGAGACGGCCGAGACTACTGCCAGTCTTGTAGGTGTGATAAAAATGTCTGTCCAGGATGTAACAGTTCCGTTCCTCGAAGGGCCAACACCTCGCCCACCACCTGAGGCTAGAACGTGGCCCGGAATGGTGGCTTTTGCTATATTGAATCTTCTGGTTTCTGAACCGCCTTTTCGCTTCAATGATCGCAACCACTTCGTCCCGCGAGTTGGCATATTGCCCGCCGACGCAATTGTAGACTTGGATTTCCCCGTCGCTTGTGGCTTGTATCTTGGCACGGAAACTCGGGATTTTCCCATCGATTGTGTACCGTATCAGTGAGGCTGAGAATCACATGGCTGTTGCAGTCCTGGCAAGCTAAATAGGGTACGATCTTGGGAGTTTAGATGAGCTTGCAAGCGGTTGTGGTGGAAAGGAGAATGATCACGCCAGCCGCGCTGGAATCCTGAATGAGCGTTCTGGACCTTGTAAAGATCTTCCGGCTCTGGCGTATCGGGCACCACTTCTTTGCGCGCTGAGGGTGGGTTTGGGTGCGTTGGGGTGTCGGGCTGCTCTCTCTGACTTTGCTTTGGTAGCTCCTTCAGCTGCCTAAATTTTCCCAGAGGCTTTGCTTCCGTCCCTCTGACTTTCTCCCCACCAGCTAAACCGAAATATCCTCCTCAAAACCAACCCTAACACATCACACAAAGCAAGACCAGACTAGGCTATACCAGTGAGTTTATACGTGCCTCGAATCTTACAGCTGCTATAATCAGGATTACAGCAATAAAAACCTTCTAATACCTACTTAGCAGCTCCAAGAACAAAAAAAAAATGTCGCGCCGCTTCCAGCCCAACACCAAGGTTGGGGCCGTGGTCCAGCACCCCGGCAACCCCGGCATTACCGCCGAGGTGCAGGGCCGCGTCATGTACGACACGGACCCCGACAGCGACCGCGACGTCGTTGGCGTGCTGGCGTTCCGGGTCCGCCACCGGACCATCTGGGGAGTCGAGGTGGACACCTCGTTCGAGGAACCCGAGGGCGCCGTGGCGGCCATACTCTGGGTCCCCCGCGGAGACGTCTACTGCCTCCCCGAGAGGGCCGGCGACGGGTGGTAGGAGGACGAGAAAATCGTTGGCCGTGTGCGCCGCCGGGAAAAGAGGTGAGTAAAGTGTGTGTCGGTGGTGGCGCCGGATCGTGCGAGACCATTTTCTACTCAAGGTTTGAACTACTTTGGCTGACAAGCAGGTTTCTACAGTTCCATACAACCTTCGACATTTGCTCGACACTCGGTCTTTGAGGCCCGCGAGGGACCTCGATTCGGCCAGCACCACGCGGAAGGAGGGGTGGGAAGAAGGAAGCTCGAATACCGACAATTTTCTGATTGATATAATTATCCTACAAGCAAACAAGAAACAATCGCTGGCAATATTGAGCCACAGCTACATAACTCCGTACTTTTGCACAAATCGGCGAACCCGTCAGACTCTTGTGGTGTTGTCGCCAGCCTGCTCGTGCCTCTGCTCGCTGGGCACGTCCGGGGTCCCCGTCTTTTCCCGCGTGTGCGCGACCGCTTCGTCGTCGGTGCCGACGCCCGTGGAGCTGTCGTCGCGCTGCTTGCGCGTGAGGTATCCCGGAGGGGTCCACTTCTTGGAGTTCCAGGGCTTGACGTTGGGCTCGCCGTACATGCGGTCGACGTTCTCGAGCGAGAGCATGCGCGACTCGTACAGGAAGAAGTAGACGAGCAGGCCGCCCGCCACGTTGCAGGCGGTGAAGACGTAGCCGAACTTGAACGAGATGCCGGCCGTGGCGGGCGGGGTGAGCAGCGACAGCAGGAAGTTGCCGAGCCAGTTGCCGGCCGTCGCGAGCGAGGCCTGCTTGGCGCGCGTGCGGAGGGTGAAGGTCTCGCCGATGACGACCCAGGCGATGGGACCCCAGGTGCTGTTGATGTGGAGGGTTGGTATCAGACCGTGGACGGTAGCGGATACGGAACGGGGAGTGGGTATAACTAACCTGGCAAACGACGCGATGAACATGCAGGCCGACACGATCATGACAATGCCGGTGGTGGAGTTGGTCTCGGGGGGCAAGGCGGTGCCGACAGACGCAAAGACGGCCAGCCAAGCCGCCTGCCAGAAGGCACCGACGATTAGGGGGAGACGACGGCCAAACTTCTCGACGACGTACAGGCCCCAGAAGGTGCAGAGGACGTTGACGGCGCCCAGGATGAGCTGGGTCTGGATGGGGTCCTCGATGCCGGCCGACTTGAAGACGGTGGCTCCGTAGTAGAAGAAGTAGTTGACGCCAGTCCACTGCTGGGCGAAGTGGAGCGCGATACCGAGAAAGGTGCGGTAGACGATCTTGGGGATGCCCTTGGAGCCGCCGCCGCCGGTGAAGCACTCGGCCCAGGTACCGGTGCCAACGCTGTGCTCGGTCTCGATGACGTCGCGCATCTCGACGAAATCCCTTTCGATCAGCCTGTTGCTCGGGTCGTGCTTGAGGCCACGGAGGCGGGCCAGGCTCATGCGGGCGCCGTCCCAGTCGCCGCGGGCGCCGAGCCAGCGGGGGGACTCGGGGACGAAGAGGATACCAATGCCGAGGGGCAGGGAGAAGAAGATGCCGAGGCCGATGACGATGCGCCACGAGGCGTCGTCGTCCTGGATGGTGCGGACGCCGTAGTTGAGGATGTTGGAGATGAGGATTCCGAAGGTGATGAGCAGCTGGTACGAGGCCACGACGGCGCCGCGGATCTCGCGGGGCGAGCACTCGGACTGGAACATGGGCACGCCGACCGAGAGGTTGCCGATGCCGAGACCGGCGACGAAGCGGCCCATCATCATGTGGATCCACGAGTTCATGGCCGTGATCTGGATGATGTTGCCGATAATGAAGATGGCGACGCCGAAGCTCAGGCTGCGGCGGCGGCCCCAGGCGTCGGCCGTGTAGGCGCCCGAGAGCGCGCCGATCAGGGTTCCCAGGCTCATGAGCGACACCATCAGGGACTGCGTGATGGACACCCACTCGGGGATACCCTCATCGTCCAGCTCGCCCGTCGCGAAACGCCGCCGGAAGTCGTTGAAGATGAGCATGCCGGAAATCTGACCCGTGTCGTAACCGAAGAGGAAGCCACCCATGGCGGTGACCCATCCGAGGATCAAGGCCTCGACACCGCAATCGGCGCCATTGATCTTGATGGACCTGCAGATGGGGCGTCAGCTATCTGGCGTTGAGGAAGCGTGCAGTCATACGACAAATACCAGGGGCGAGGGGGATCGGTTCACGGCCGAGACATACTTCTGACCCAACCCCATGGTTGCGGTGGAAAGGACCAGTTGAGTGTGCTTTGTTGTCACAGGCTGGACGGCGCTGTGTCCTCTTGGAAATGCTGTCCGCTGCTGCGTGGGCTTCGCGCAGCGCCGAGTATTGGGTGGGTGGAGAGGTAGAAGGCTGGAAATACCGATCAAACTGAGGAGGATAGATGCCGCCAGAGAAGGAGCGCGCGCCGTCTAATATGAAGTCTGGGGTGGAGACGAGGGTGTCGCCCAGAACATACCTATGCGCGTGACCCAGGGGCTGGGCCAAAGAAACATGAAGCAAGGGAGAGTGAGGGCGGGACCGCTATGACGTCGCTGGAAATTGGAGCAAAAGACATGCATCAACCGCCGCTGGTCTCTCCACCCCACGATCCGCCCACTCGGGTGCCACGAGACGCGGAGCTCCCACATAGGAGGCGCGGCTGCAGTGTCTTGGCCGGGGACCAAGGGTCGGGGGGAGCGAAAGGCCCGAGTTTTTTTTTGCTGCCAAGGCCGCCCCAACACCATGTCATACCACAGTAAACGGCCACGAACGGGTATCGGGGTGGAAAAAGTCAGGAGCTCAGCAACAAGGTTGTTCGTTGGAGAGCCAAGGCAAAAGGGCCGGTGGTCGCGTGCGCGTTAGATTCTTCTCTTCCCCAAATGACGTGAACACCAAGATCGGCGGGCTGTTGTGTAGCCGTCGCGCCCCTTTCGATATTCGGCTAGGGGGCCAACCAAGCAACACGGGTTTGTTTTTTGATCAGCGCGCATCACAGCTGCTAAGGCTGGAACATGTGGGGAAGGGGGTTGGCAAGTGCGCCGTTTGTGTCTTAGCTGAGCTGACAGCTGGCCATCCATACCGTCCATCAGCCTGCAGCCTGCGCGCTACTGCAACATCGGGTCTGCATTTCACGCCAAGCGGCTGCCTTCCCAACCGCCAAGGTCCTTCGCAGGTGAGAGCGTGCGTGGCGTCCAGCGCCCAGGCATCCAGAGGGGGCTGGGGAGTGCTGGGCCAGAGGAGCGCATTGGACTTGGCCGTAGTAGGAGCGTGGTCGGTCAGCCTGTGGACGGAACTTTGTCATTTTCTGAAGTCGGCCTCCACTTTCTTGGCCATCGTCATCATTTGCCGGCAGCCGCATTCCATACCGTGCACATGCGCCAATCACAGCACGCATCCTCGAAACGCTGTGGGGTCACCGTGGCATCCTCCCGAGAGCTCGACGGTCGCGGATCAGGCGGAACAGGGAATGCATCCTCTCCGCAGGCCGGCGGCTGTCATCGATGACGGAATGCGAGAAAACACCTTTTCGGTTGGGCGTTTTTGCCATTGGCATTGACCCGTGTGCCATTGTCGTGCCGCATCACCATAAGTCCCATGGCGGCCTCGTGATGCACCGCTTCCAAAGTCCATTTTGCGTTTCCTCCTGGGTCTCCTTCTGGCTAAGCCTGGCCAAGTTTGGCCGTATTTCTGGCTCCCAATTTGGGTTTTTTGTCGATGGACCGCTGAGCCTCTCAATTGCTGTTGGTGTGGTGCGCGCAGTTGATCCTTGGCCAAATCAATGTGACCATAAATCCCTTGAAATGCCATTTCCAGCGCAGCTCTAGCAAAGTAGGGTAGAATGCCCGTCGGTGGGCTGCTTCAGTGTTGCTGCGGCCCCACTTCGTACCCGCAGGGCCCCACCGGCGGGTCCCGAAATGGGTATTTTTGGAGGCTCTTTTCGACGTCCTTGATCGATCCAGCGATCGTCATGGCCGAGTGGAACTTGTCGAGGGAAAACACCAAGCCCGAGAATTTGGCCGCACGCACTTGGCCCCTGAATCGTGTATGGCCGTCCCCGCCACGTGCCCGTCTCTGAGTGCGCTGGTCTGCATCAAATATCTCCCGGACCCGGCCCAGGCCCGGCGCTGGTCAACACTCGGGCCGTTCAGCCCACAAGGGCCAGAGTTTTCGGCGGGTATTGCCCATTTCTAACCGTAGCCCATCCCATGCGTCACGCAACGCATCGCGTTACAGGCGAGTGATGTCTCCGCCGCTGGGGAGACAGCCAAGCTGCCCTCGGCCCCGACAAATCTCCTGTCCACCTGGATCCGTGCCATTGCAATCAACAGGACTGAGGGACTTGAACCTTCCCGTGACCTCCAGAGCCTGAGTGCCGCTCCATAAAACTAGACCCTGAAAGATGTCGAGGCGGGCATCGTCCGCATAACTGTCCGGCTGGCGGGATCGTGGCGTGGCTCTGCAGCCTCGTCCCCTGGACTCGCCCCGGAAATTCTCTTGGATGGAATGGTCAAATTTCGATAAAAAGATGAGGTATAACCCCGAGCTCGGCGCCGATGTCCCGGGACTTCAAATTCCGCCGCCATGGTCACCAATCCAGCCACATTTGTCATGCGCCACTTATTAGTTGGCTGGGTGGATTAATGATTTCCCACTAGGCGTCGCTAGGCCTTCCGCGGCGACTTGGCGCCACGCACGCAGTGATCCGCATTCTATTTGGCCGAGGTCGAGAACCGCTTTCTTACGCCAGTCTATTGTCTCTTCCTACTCCGCCCCTAGTCTGCTCGGCCGAGCCAAGCAACCTCCTGTCTGCTACAGTTGTATAAGAACCTTCGGGAAGGTACGAGGAATGGTACCTAGTCTGCTATCCTACACAGTTTGCTTCGGCCACATGAGAAGAACATGGTGTCCACCGCGCGCCACGTTGGGGCCCCACCCGAGGCAGGACCGGTATCTCGGACAGGATACACCTACCATCCGCATGGAACATGCCATCATTCCTCCTGCTACCTAGCTGGCTCCCTGCTAGGTCCCTTATGCCCAGCGCCGTGACGGAGGTCTTGGCATGTAGCACCTTCAACATCGAGCTTTCCACTAGAAGTACGCCGCCCATGGGGACGACATGAATGGCCTCGCGCGCATAATATAAGCGACACAACAGAGATGGGGTCCCTTTGTATTGAGCTCCTGTCAGCTGTATTTCCCACCTTCCATATCCATTTCCCTTTGCCAAATGATTGCCACTGCGACCTTCCATTCCTCTTCTTGCTTGCTCCCTGTGTCTGCTTCCTGTGCCTGCTGCCTCCTGTGTCTGCTCCCTCCTTGACTCCTTTTTTGTCAGCACCTGGCCGTAGAGCATTTGGCGACGTCTAGTGAGCGGGGGTTGCGGAGCTTACCGATGTGAAGCTGCGATGTCAAGCTGCGTTGCTTGGGCCTGCGTTGGGGGTAGCCTAATCTTGTTAAACTGTGTCGTGCCGAGGGTTGGCGCGGCGCGAGGCCGGCCCCCCACCTGGACGTCGTTTCCATGGTCGAGAGTGAACGATAGGCTCGCGAGCGGCGACAGGAGAAGGAAAGGATGTCTTTTGAACGGTAGGTCCATGACCCTAGTCAGCGGCTGTTGGGAGCAACGCGTGGTGTGCAGGGAGATGGGTGGAAGAGGAGAAGAGTGCCGTGCTCGAGCGCACTCGGAGGCTGATGGGCAGGGCTAGACACGCACCTCGAAGGGATGATTGTAAAGAAATAAAAAGTAAAACAAAAAAATAAGGATGTCAGGTGTAAATGTGTCAAACAGGCTGCTCTCAAAGAGAAGCTTTCATAGCGGCGTCCGGCGTAAATGTGTCAAACAGGCTGCTCTCAAAAAGCAGCTGAAGTGGACGTGGATTGTTAGTACGAACGAGATCCTGCAACGAGAGTGCTCGGGTCATTGGGCTTGCGGCCTCGCACAGGGTGGCGAGGACAAGCGTCGGGATGGGAAGAGGAGATGCAATTCGACGTACCCCATCGTCTTGAATCAAGTTGATTCATGATAACTTCTCGAATCGCACGGCCTCGCGCCGGCTTCTTAGAGGGACTATCGGCTCCCTCTCGGTAAGGTGGGAGAGGTTGGGAGTTGTGGTGAGGAGTGGGCAAGAAATTTTCCAAGTCTGGGGCCCGGTAGGTAGAATTTTGACGAGGGGTATCTCAGGGGTCCTCCTGGGTGCTCCTTCCCTCCCAAGCCGGACAAGACCGCCCTCCGGAGTGGAAGTTATGACCACTCCCGCCTAGAAACAAGAGTGCAGCCTAGTGGCTTTGTCAGGGATCGCGCCCGACGCCCAACAATCCCAAGCCTGTACAAAGACTGTCACCTTGCTGGACGGGCTGGACAGTCTCCTGCTCCATTAGATTCCCCCTGACATCTTCCCCATATACGCGCACGCAGAATCTAGTCGTCACTTCCGCAACAAACAGACCGCCACGGCAGGGCCTACTGTGCGTAGAGCCGTCTCTAGACTACCCTTATCTAGGAAAAAAAGACGTGAATATTCTTCCCGCTCGAGATAGGAGTACCAGGTACGCTGCTTCATACCGAAATGACTCCCGACCCAGCTGGGTGCAGAGTAGGCACGTCCGCTTCCACAAATGGTGGAAGAGTTACCCTATACAATGCCTGTCTACACTCTATAGTGACTGCCCTCGAGCTACCCCGGAGCCATAGCTGACCATCACTAGGCCGAGAACTCCTGAACAGGAACTGCAAGCGCCGTCTAGCAGCCCTGGTCGAGACAGAGCATATCCCCGTAGCTACTAACAATCCAGCGCGGGAAAGCACCTCGTCCACCACCTTCCCCAGCCATCAACCATGTCATCAGGACAGGGAGCCATCGAACATATGTATCGCCTCGGCGTAGTGCCACGCTCGCCATCCCCTGCAGCAGGAACAGGCGGTCCTCCACTCCTCCGCTCGAGGCCTAGGCGAGAAGGCCCGACCCCGCCCCCAGAAACAAGCAGCAGCGGAATGAAACGTTCATATGCAATGCAGGAGATTTCCATGCTGGAAGCCCTCGATGAATTCGTGGGACCTGAGGACCTGGACGCCCGACATGATGCCCGAGGCGACGACGGCAATGACGACGAGGCCCCGCTGCTGGTTAGCGCGGATAAGACATCACCGGCCTCTACATCCACCCCGTCGACGCCCCAGCCGAGCAAGCCGGGCGACGGCATGATAACCAGCCCAGGGGAAGGACGGCTGGTAAACGCAAAGTCTCATTCGATGGGGTGTCGTGATCTTGGAGAGAGGGCGTTGCCGTTGCCGTTGGATCCAGTTATCAAGGATTCTCGGGGGATGCCGTCACTAAAGGTGCCCTTGCGTGACAAGTGGGTAGCATGGCAGGCCGCCAAGCCTGCGCGATGGAAGGACATCATTCTTGGCAGAAACGGTTTGGCGAAGGACTGATAGTGAGTGAGGCGTTGAGTTTATATTTTATGGTTCGCCAGGCTGCGCGGCAAGGGAAATGTGGCCCGGATGCGCTCGAAGCAAGCCCTTGATCATCTCCGGACGCCGAACTCAATTCTGGGAAAACAAGCTCAAGAACACGGTGAAGAAAAAAGCAAGGCCTGCCCCTGTACCGGCAGAGCAAGGGTCTCGGCACAGGTGGCTGGCTAGGTACAGATTCTGCACTGCAAGGGGATGCTGACTGACTGCGGGAAACTGCGGGCCGAGTCGGTTCCGGCTGCACATCGCGGCGCGCTCGGGGGTCCGCGGTGACGACAACTTTGAGCAAGCGTGAAGATGGCTCCAAGGCAGGCACCTAGTCCCTGGAACAGTATTTTTTTTAGTTCCGTGAATGACAAATGATGTGATCGGCCCGACCCATTAGGCTGTATCATCGCTCGGCACATAGCCTCCCTCCGAAGGACGAGGCACCTGGGCTGAGAGGGCTATAATCGTATTTGCAGCCTCGACCTGGCACTTTGAGCGCGGCGACGTGCTCCCGGCGAGTCATTCCCTGTGGCGCGTTGCATGCCGAGCTCGTGTCGTAGCTTGGAAATTGCTTATTAGCAACAAGCACACGAAAAAGATCCGTAACGAGGCCCGTGGGCCCACGATCCACCCGATTGCCGCCTTGGTGCCCAGAGACGAGGCCCGGCAGCCGCGTTACGGGAGCCATCCCTGGCCCTGTTACCGTCCACGAGGCCTGCCGGTGGTAATTATAGTCCCCGCCTCGTTATTGGGACCGGGGGCTTGCTGCTGTACTGATATGGGATCTCCGCCGCAGGGTCAAGGCTTGAGCCTGCTTCCGCGGAACCCAGGGGCGCCGCCCTCACCCACCAGGGTTCGCCCTCGTGGATAAACACTTTCCCACCTCTCCCCTCCTCGACGACGCCTTTTTGTACCCCAAGTCCCCAACCACCGCCTCTCGAAGCTACTGCGACGCCACGATCCACCCCGTGGGGTGCTCGGGGTCTCCCCAAACCTGCTGTTCCCCGGACCGGAACCATTTGAGATGTGCTTTCTGGGGCTGCCACGAATCGGTCGAGGTTCGGGATGCGAACCTTCGTATAAAGGTTTGGGGCGCCCCAAGCCATCGCTGATCTCTGTACTCCCCCCAGTCCAGGGTTCGATCTTCTTCGGCCTACACGCTGCCAGTCACAAGTAAGACCGGGCCCCTTGGACGCGTATCAAACTCGAGATAGCCCGTAGCCAAGATGACTGTCGCTACGACCGGCGTGAGCAAGAGCTACTTCGGTGGCCTGACGGGCCACCGCCTGGCGGTGCTCCAGACGGCCCTCATCACCGCGCCGTCCTTCATCCTCTTCGGTTACAATCAGGCCGGTCTCGGTGGCCTGATCGGGCTCAAAGACTGGGAGCGCACCTTTCCCGAGATCGACACCACCCACCACAAGGAGTCATCCGTGTCGACGCTCAAGGGCTTCGTCGTCGCCACCTTCGTCATCGGCGCCCTCTTCGGCTCGCTCCTGTGCTCCTACACGGGCGACAAGTTTGGCCGCCGTCACGTCATCTTCTTCGCCGGTCTCTGCACCCTCGTCGGCGAGGTCCTCGAGTGCGCCGCCTTCGGTCTCGCCCAGCTCATCGTCGGCCGCGTCATTGTCGGCTTCGGCATCGGCCAGCTGAGCTCCATCGTACCAGTCTGGCAGAGCGAGACGAGCGGCGCCAAGAACCGTGGACGCCATGTCGTGCTCGACGGTGTTTTCATCTGCCTGGGTTTCGTCCTCGAGAGCTGGATTAACGTGAGTTCTGACCACATCCGCAGCCCCTTGCCCCCCCTGAGGCTTAGTCCATGGACGCTAACTTGAGAACCCCCCTTTCTAGCTAGGATTCTTCCAGTTCGGTGACAGCCCCATCACCTGGCGCCCGCCCATCGCCATCGCCATCCTGTTCTCGCTCATCCTGTCCGGCTCTGTCTACCTCTTCCCCGAGAGTCCCCGCTGGCTGATGGCCAAGAACCGCAAGTCCGACGCCGTCGCCGTTCTCTCGGTCCTGCGTGGCCTCCCCCAGGACTCGATCGAGGTGCAGGCTGAGATCTCAGGTATCGAGCTGTCGCTCGAGGACGTCACGGGCAAGGACGCCAAGCTGTCCGAGATGCTCAGCCCCAAGAACGAGGACAAGCTGCTGTACCGCTTCGGCCTCTGTATCCTGCTGCAGTTCTTCCAGCAGATGTCGGGCACCAACCTGGTCAGCGTCTACGCCACCATCCTGTTCCAGGACAACCTTGGCATGAGCCCCCAGCTGGCCCGCGTCCTGACGGGCGGCGCGCTGACGTGGAAGTTCCTCTCGTCGTTCCTCGCCTTCTTCTGCATCGACCGCTTCGGCCGCCGCGTCTGCTTCATGATCTCGGGCGGCGGCATGGCCGCCTGCATGGTCGCGCTCGCCGTCGCCACGTCGTTCCCCGAGGACAACCGCGGGGCGCAGATCAGCGCCGCCTGTTTCCTGTACCTCTTCAACACCTTTGTGCCCATCGGCTTCCTCGGCGCAAACTTCCTGTACTGCACCGAGGTCGCGCCCGTCCGCCTCCGCATGGTTATGACCAGCATCTCGACGGCTAACCACTGGCTATGGTATGTACAACCCCCCTCCCCTTCACGGCCATCGGCCAGCACAAGAAATGCCGTCTCAAGCTTGCTAACGTACCCTGCGCTATAGGAACTTTGTCATCGTCATGATCACACCCGTGGCCATCTCAACCATCGGCTCCAGGTACTACATCATGTACGCCGTTATCGCGGCCTGCATCCCCCTGTCCGTCTACTTCCTCTTCCCCGAGACCATGGGTCGCAACCTGGAGGAGATCAACCTCATGTTCCGCGACTCGCCCTCGGTCTGGGCCACCGTCAAGTACGCAAGGAACCGCCCCATCGGCATGCCCCAGGAGTTCGACAGGAAGCAGAAGACGGACCACATTGAGGGCAACGGGGACGAATCGTCCAAGTAGATAGCCAGGTGAAGGCGAACACCATGATTAAAGGCGGATTTAACAGAATGGAGGGAAGCAAGTTGGATTTTCTAGTTGATATATGTATATAGGCTATCATCATATGACATGAGATAAAGCTATATGGCCAGCGATCGCGTGGACCTAGTGTACAACAACAAGCCCGTTAGCCTCCAGCTCGAAACCAAGCTTGTGGTCATCCGCCACGCGCCGCCGAGTGCGTCTTCGGGCCCTAGATCACCCATTAGAAGTATAAAAGTGCTGCTGTTCTCCAAATAGCCCTTCTACTTCTTCTGGCGGCGCTCCGCTGCTAGCTAGGGCGGGGGACTTGGTCTACAGGTGCAGATCTCGGGGTCGCAAGCGTCTGAGCGGAGGTCTTGGGCTTTTTGACCGGGGCTTGGACAGTGGGAGGGACCGGCTCATTATAGTCGCTGTCATCGCCGCCGTTACCGCCCTAGCCCGTTACCGTCGTGGTCACCGTATAGGCTTTTTGGCAAACGCGGTGGCCGGTATTATCGGGCCTGGGCCGGAGTGAAGGGAGGCGTGCCCACAGTAGGGGTACTGGCAGCAAGTTTTTCGGCTGCCCCCGCCGGCGCTAGTGTGAGGGCGGAAACTGGGGGCCCAAAAGGGCCATTGTGCCTTCTCCAGCGTAGGTGTGTTGGATAGTGGGCCCCGCCCCGAGTCGTACCTGCCAGCTATGGGCATTAGAGGCAGCCGGCGCTGCGCAGGCAGGCACCATGCTGCCCGATGCGTGCCTAAAGCCTTGCCACATTGTTAAATGCGAAAAGCTTGTAAAATTCCACAACAATCCTTGAGCTCCCTGACAAAAGAAAACATTCGACCCAGCCAAACCCATCAAACAATCTGTTTACCACCATATCTGGTATGTCTACCTACCACCATGTCTGGCACCACCAAAAACAAAAAGACCTTAGCCGCGGGAGGTGGAGGCGAATCTCAGCCAAGTCACAATCCTCCTCCGCCTCCCCTGGACGTCGCAGAGAGGACCCAGCAGTAGGCCGGGCCCTCGCCAGCTTGGGGAGCTGATGGATGCCATCGGCCCGGGAGCTGCACATCGCTGTAGTGGCGCGTTCATACGCTCAAGATGCCCTAACGCGAGGGCAGGGCCTCGGCTGCCCGCTAAGCTTGGCCGCCCCATGGTCTGCCAAACCATGCCTCCCTAGAGCCGCATGAGGGCCGGTATGTTTGCTTGCGTGGCGCCATCCGCAGCTGATCAGGGACGTTCCGCCATTTCGCAGACGGCTAATCAGCATGACATGGTGGTGGCGCAGGCATTCCACCTCTCCCGGCGACGGATTCTCCTCATCGATGGCCGGCGGGGCTTGAAAGGGCGACGACGCCGAACAACAAGAGTACCTAGGTACATAAGCTCATCCCCCGGGATTAACGCTGTGGTTTATGCCCGCAATTCCGTGGCGTGGCATTGTTAGCGGGCTGATGTGATTGGGCTCAAGTGCTGACTAGCTTCCGCATGCGGCGTGCTACGCTCGGATAGGGAAACAATCCAGATAATTCCGGTGTCCAACATGTGGCTGAAGCATGTCGACGACATCTCCGGGCCGCCGAAGGGATAGCTGTCACTTTGGTACATATACCAAGCCAGTTCCTGAGACTTTCTCTTTTTCTCGCTCCAAAACACCAAACACCATCTCCCAATCTCAGAACCGACACAAACGTCCCCGAACCCAGACAATGACGTGCAGCAAAGCCTTCAACCCCGACCATGACATCCCCAACCTCGGAGGAAAGGTCATCCTGGTGACGGGCGGCAACAACGGCCTGGGCCTCGAGACGGTCCGCCAGCTCGCCAGGCACGGCCCCGCGCACATCTTCCTCGCCTCCCGCTCGCTGGCAAAGGCGGAGGAGGCCATCAAGGACGTCCACTCATCCAGCCCCGAGGCGGCGGGGACACCCATCAGCGCGCTGCAGTTGGACCTCGCCTCCTTCGCCAGCATCAAGGCCGCCGCGCGCGCTTTCACGGCCGCATCGGACCGCCTTGACATCCTCATCAACAATGCCGGCATCATGTGCACGCCCGAAGGACTGACCCAGGACGGATACGAGGTGCAGTTCGGAACCAACCACATGGGCCACGCGCTCCTGACGCAACTCTTGCTCCCGACCCTCAAGCAGACGGCAGCCGCCGCGCCTGGCAGCGACGTCCGCGTCGTGTTCCTGTCGTCGGCCCTCGAGTCCGGCGCACCCGTGGGAACGTACAAGACAGACGAGCTCAAGACCACCATGGCCGCCACGTCGACGATGGACCGGTACAGCATCTCCAAGCTGGCCAACGTGCACTATACGTCGGCGTTGGCGGCGGGGAACCCGGACCTGCGCGTCGCCAGTGTCCATCCGGGGGTCATCTGGACGGGCCTGCAGGGGCCCATGATAAACGGGTCCGGCCCGCTGCTCAAAGGGGTCATGAACCTCGCCAGCAACTTCCTGACAACCGTCGAGAAGGGCGTGCGCAACTCGCTGTGGGCAGCCACCGCTGCCGAGGTCGAGTCGGGCGCCTACTACCGCCCAGTCGGCGTCGGGGGCAAGGGGTCCAAGCTGAGCAGGGACGCGAAGCAGAGGGATGTGCTGTGGGAGTGGACGCAGAAGGAGCTGCAACCGCATCTGTCCGGCTGAAGGGTCTTGGGGGACTTTCTTTATCTCGTGCGAGGCGAACGGAGCTGAGCCATGTTGTTAATATTACTATCGAGGTTGTGCTTTAGAGGATAGCGTAACGGGGCGTCCAAGGATGTCACAGGTGTATGGAGTTTTTGAGTGCCGATTTATATACATGCCAGAGGTGTTACTAGTAAGGCTGGCGGAGACCCAAACGACCCGTTTGGGCCGGGGACCCATTTGGGTAATGGGTTTTCGGGTTTGGGTCCATCTGGGTAATGGGTCCAAAATTTGGGTAATTTTTGGGTTGGGTCTTCTGGGTTTTGGGTAATTTTTGGGTCCAAGCCGGACCCAAAACCCATGGGTCCAAACCGGGACCCATTTATGGGTTTTGCCAGCCTTAGGTATTATCTCCTCGGGAATCCCAACTTTCTTACGGATTCCTCCCGCTATGTCTGACCTGGGACATACATCGAAGCAGCTTGAACCCTTAGCTGCTTCCCTACACTTAGCCTCGCGCTGGACACCCTCATCTCTTTTGGCGGCGTCCGTCCGAGAGTGACCCCAGTGGGGGCACGAAACGTCGTCTTCGTCGCTTTGCTGGCTCCGTACATATATTTTGATGTGCTTTAGTACTTAATTAACGCGGCGTGGCTCCTCTTGATCTGGACAGCGACATGCCCCCTCGCCCGCCACGCTTCTTTGCCCGCGGCCGCCCTTGCGGAAGCCAGATGCTGGGCGCTGACCAGCAGTTGGCTGCAGCTTGATATCGAGAACCGCCAGAATTCTGCCTGCCCTCAGTCCACTCAAGTGCCCTGCCTGCTCAATACCCCCTTGGAACAAACGCCCAGGCTCATGGGGCTCGAGCCTGATGAGGCGCCGCTGCCCCCAGTTGGTCTTGACCGCAGCTCTACGGCCGCGAAAGAGTGTCGTAGTAACACTTGCGAGCACCGAGGCGCGAGGCGAGTCTGATAACTTGCAAACTGCTTTTGCGTGACGCCAGCCACACTGCGGCTGGGCCAGATGATTGGGTACCATCCTGCCTGGCGTGACGCAACGAAGGCTTTGGGAGTCGTGTGCTCCGGGATAGGCTTCTGACTGACCATGATCCGACATATGGAGGAAGCTGCTACACCATGGAGGGGAATGCGATATATGCATTACGGGGAGGACCCCCTGCCGTCCTGGGTTGGACATGCCGGTAGGTACACAGGCTGATGAAGATAGGAATCGACGACTTACACGACTTGCAGGTCGGGTCAAAGGCTTGCTTGGCCACGACCCACATTTTGGGCTGAAGCCCGTGGGACTTCAGGACCAGTTCCAGCGCAACCAGACTCTCACTGACGACCGTCTCCGGTGCGCTGCGCCCTTGGCTAACTCTCCGGGACGCAAGACCAAAAACACTATCACTTCCCCCTGCGCGAACCACGTGACAGTGTGATATCCCATCCGCCAGGAGAGCAGAGAAGGAAGCCCAGGAAAATATTCAGAATCTGAGTTTTCCATGCTTTCTCTCGGTCCGTGTTTTAGCTACCACAGCAGCTACATTTCTCTCCAACACCCGCGATAAACCACACTCTTGACGCAAAATAGAGTACGTTCGAGGGATAGTGGCAAGAAGATCTGACCTCTGCGAAACTAACCACCACTCTGATGCTGCTTTAATAGACCACCTTCACCCGATCCGGCCCAGATATACCAGTCCCGTCCCAGCCCGAGACAATGGCGCCAAGCAACGAGGCCATCGAGGAGCGCATGGCCCGCATCGCCACCTCCCACTCCAACTTCTGCCGCAGCCTCAGGCACAACCTGGCGTGGCTCGCGGCGACCGGGCTCCGCATCGCCGCCCACTGCGAGCGGCCCCGGCCGGGCATCGACCTCGACGACCACGCCGCCGAGCTCCTCGAGCGCGCCCAGCGCGTCGACGTCGTCACCGGCCGCGAGGGCATGGCCAACCACCTCGTGGCCTGCAACAGCGTCATCTCGCCGCTCTGGGCGCCCGGCGAGAACCACGCGCAGCGGCTGCGCGGCTCCTGCCTGAGGCTGGTCTGGCGCGCCGAACGCGCCATGGACCGCTACGACGAGGCCAGGGCGTACCGCGGCGAGCTCGTCTGCATCTCCCGCGAGATTGCGGAGCTGATGCCCGTCGTCAGGGCCATGGAGGTGCGGCTCCACGCCGTGTGCCGCGAGGTCGACCGCTGCGTCGGGCTGTCCCGGGGTTTCTGCATAAGGAGGGCCGGCAACGGCCTGGGCAGTTATTCCACGCGGCTGGCATTGCTCCACGATCGGGCCAAGGCGGAGCTGGAGTTGGAGCTCCCACATCAATCTTAGGATATGCGGCAGAGGATTTATGTCAATACAATCCCAACCTCTCTATGACGGCAGAATATGCAACTATCTTCATAGAAATAGAGACCAAGCCAGCTCTCTCCTGCGGACCCACGCACACTACTTACTCCTCTCTGACATTTACTCCAAGGAGAGTTCACCTCCCCTACGATGTAAAGCCTTTCCCAAAGATCCGGTAGATGTCGGGGAACTCTACCGAATACGCGGTGTGCAATGTCTCGCATGATCCTGAGGTTTTGTGAGGTTTTGAAATTCAGAGAGAGCAGAATGTCACATACATGGCACGGCTGCGGCCTCAATGCATTCAACAATAGCTCCTGCTCGGCTGGCTATGTCCTTGGTTATTTTCAACCGTTGCAGCCAACTCACTTTGTCGGCCGATGGTGTTGCCCGTCTCGAAATGTCGTGTTGTTGCTCGCAGTCACTTCACCCACTGTGATTCTCGCATCCTCACTTCTACGGTGCTTAGGTGTTTCTAACCTTGCAGCGGTGTTATCTACACGGCCACGTTGCTGTTGAATCAGGACCGGCGTCCGACGACATTGAGTGGAAGTGAATCAAGAACTATAACGTAACAGCGAGGCGGTTCGGCAGATATAAAAGGATGGCCACATGCCGGGTGTAAAATGTATTGCAGGCAGGAACACTCCTCAAAACACCAATAGGCCACCGCCCCACACCCCTCAAGCCCTAGTTACGAATTGCCAACTAGCCACAATGCCTCAGCCTCAGGCAGTCGTGCCGATACCCCATGATACTCCCCTCCATGTTAAGGAGGCCATACTTCTCCTAGCTACGGAAAACGCCATGCGCTGTGGAGGCATGGTGAAGAGACTGAATGAATTTATTGAGCAAGAAACTCTTATCGAACAACACTGCAAGGACACCGACAATTTGCTGAGCAGAACTTTCGACGAAGCTCGAAATCTCCATTTCTACAGCCTCAAACGGCTGATTCGCCCGACCAGCGGTGTGCACTGGGCGCTTGTCCCGGTGCTTGACAGCTTTAACTCGACGGTGATATTCGCCTGGCCTCCCGGCGATGACAGGAGCCAAAAGGTCGCCGAGTTTTGCAAGTGGCAGATGGCGTTCGTATCCCACCACCCCGACAACACGCAAAGCTACCTTGAACTTCTTGGCCAGCTCAGCTCGCGAATCTCGGATGAGTTGGCGGTGCTCAGAGTGCTAGCGATGAGGCTGGAGATACTCAGGATCAACTTTTTAGGGTGCTCCAAGGTGGCTGATACCTTCCTCCAGGGGGGTGACATGCCCCCCTGTGACGCCCCTGACCTTCTTGCCTGGCTCTATCTGAATGTCATCCACCAAACTCGGGATTGAGCATCTCGGGACACGCAGCGGCGGGGCCCTGCTCAGTGCAAGTAGCGGTTTGGGTTGCCTGAATCACGCTTTGAACTCTTGCGGTGGCGGCTGTAGTGGACAAAGTTTGCGTCGACTGGGGAGGGGATTGTTGCTAGTCGATTTCATTAACTGTCTCGCCCCAGTCTCTCTTTCTGTCCCGCGTGCTGCCTCCCTGCCCCTGTATTCACGCGTCTTGGGTGGCCACCTCGGTTGTGCCTTGAAGGTTACCAGATATGACGTTGGGGAGCGCCGGATATGTACGAAGCTGCGCTCAGGAGATATAGCAATATAGAGCCCAAAGTAGCGTGCCACTGGCTGCTGAAAAATCACCAAACCCGTAGAACAGGGCTCACTAATGCTCGCAGGGGCCCAGTCTGGGCGGTGGAAAAGAGCGGATCGGTATGGATGTGGGTGCCAATGTGGTTGCTGGATCTCACAGGACCGGGTTCGAGGGAGAGGACGGCGCGTTGCATGATCAGGGAATATCCCTTGTCGCATATTAGCTGAAGCTATCGCATCCGAGCAGCCGCCGTCGACCACACCGAAGATCTGGCGTGCGGGCGCGCAGCCGTGACGTAGAATCCGAGCGCCTGTTTAGGACGGCGGATCTTAGCTTGTCTATGTTCCCTAGGGAGCTGGCCAGCCGTGAGGTGGGCAGGGTAGGGTATGAAGGAACGAACTGCGTTTGGCGCCTCTGACAATCTTATCGAGGCACCAGAAAAGCCATCAGCTCCCAAGAGACGCCTGCACGATTATTTATACAGACCCCCCAGATGTTGTGATGAGTGGTGCAGGCTTCGTTGGCCGGACAAGCGCGCACTTTTGTTGGCCGGGTGCCTTTCTGTGATCGCTACGCGGTATTGCGGGGTAGTCTCCTGGTGCTACGTGATTGGGCTACTAGTTGGCCGTGCCTTCCTGCTACAAGAGGCAGGTTCTGCAATATTTGGGTGAGCTCGGGTTGCTCTTCGCAGGGCACGGGCAGTCGCCGTGACACGTTGGTATCAGTGACGAAATCGAGACATTAACCACGTTCCCCAGTCAGGCAAAGCTGGCAACTCCTCCTTGCAAAGCTGCTACATACATACCTGGCTCGTTTGCAAGGTGCTGGAGCATGGGTTCTGGCAAGCGTCATTGAGGATTCCTCCACAGGCTGGCAGATATGGAGCGGGCATGTACAAAGACGCCATCCCAAGTTTGCTTCTGTTCATCATTTACATCTTTCTAGTTTGAGCTAGAGTCACAGATGAGCCCACGTCACCCCTCGGCTACGACAGGTCAAGCGCGAGGGTCCCACTCAGGGTCAACATCGTCGAGCAGGTTCAGCCCCTTCAACGCCTCAGCCCCCAGAATCTTCTCCAGGCTGATCAGCTTGAAGCTCGCGTCCTCGCTCGCCCCGCCGCCTGGCAGCTCGTTCGCGTCGTCGTGCACCACGACCAGGCCGCGCGGGAAGTCCGGGCCCAGCGCCTTGCCGACGGCGGTGATGCCGTCCGTGTTGGACACGGCGTCGATGCGGCCGTCTGCCGACCGCACGACCTGGAATGTGGTCACGTACTCGTGCGGCTCGGCGCGCCGGTAGACGGCGAAGGAGCTGACGCCCTGGTTGGAGGCGAGGATGTAGCCCTGGTCGGGCCTCTTGCCCGTGACGAGCGTGACGCCCTCGACCTCGGCGTTGAGCGGCCCGCTGTCGCCCACGGCCGCGACGAGGTGGCCGGGCGCGGTCGAGTTGGGTTCGGCGTCGTACCGCCACAGCGCGACGGGCTCCTCGCCTAGGAAGAGCCAGCCGTTCTGCTCGTCCGTCACGCAGCCCTCGACCTGGCCGCCGTTGCCGCCGATGAAGTCGCGGACGAGGGTCGTTTGGAGCGTGCCGTCCGCCGCCGCCGTGAGCTCGTACTGCAGGTAGCGGGCCGACTTCTCGTTGACGAAGAGGTACTGCTTCCCGGTCTTGGGGGAGAGGTAGGTGCACGAGCCGTAGACCTTGTACTTGGGAGGGAGGGGCTGGCTGCCACCGGGGATGTCTGACAGTGTTCCGTTGGGATGCATCTCGAAGAGACTGTGGAGGAGATAGCATGGGTCAGCCTCAAAGTTGCTTGCTTCATCTGCATGTTTGCAGGCGTTGGGGGTTGGAGCGAGTTCGTAACGTACCACAGAGTGTTGTCAGTCCGGCATCCTGCGAATGCCAGATCGACACGGCGGTCGCCGGCCTGGAAGCCGTATATCATGTCCACGTTGTTCGGTTGCGGCGCTGGAAAAGCCTGCGTCTGTTTTCCCTGCAGGTCGAACACCCCCAATCCCGCGCCGCGCTCGGACTTGACCGTCATGATGACGCGAGACAGCTCTGGAGACACGGGAGAGATCCAGATGGCCGGGTCGTCGCCATCGCCACCGTTGGCATCGGTCTCGTAGGAAGGCTCGACGAGCAGAAACGAGCAGTGCAGTCCACCCCAGCCGGCGTCACAGCTACACTGATTCGGGCCAGTGCAGCGGCCCTTGCCGGAACAGGAGTTTGTGCAGGCGAACTGGTTGCACTCGGGGCCGGTGAAACCGAGGAAGCAGCTGCACTGTTGGTTGGTGAAGTAGCCATTCCCAGAGCATGAGCCGGAGATGGGGGACGGCCCACCATCGCTCGACCGAGCCCTGGGGCTGTAGGCTGTGTTCGGCCGGATGCCAAGCTCTGCCAGCAGCTCGGACAGAGAAGAGACAGCAAAACCCTGGAAGGAGTTAGCCTTCATGCTGTAGGTGAGAGCGCCAAGGGGGTAGTGAGGCGTGGAGGCTTGGTATATGCTCAGCCCCTCGATCTCCATCTTCTTCCGGCCTGTCAGAGTCACCTTGCCGACAATTTCCCAGGGATGATAGTAGACAGAGATGGAGTCCTCGCGGGCGACGAAAATGTAATCCTTGTCGGCACAGCTTGTCTCATAGATGGAAACACCGGTGGCCCCGGTGACGTTGGCAACCTTGACGATAGCCGGCGCGGCAGTGTTCTCGACCAGCTCCATGGTGTAGACATCCTGGTCCACCTCCTCGGTGAGGAAAAGTGTCGAGTGCTTCTGAGAAACGGCGCAGCCGACGAATGAGGCCGAGACGGGGATGGATCGGACCTATAGTGTACACGGGGCTGGTTAGGACAGGTCATTTTTGCACTCTTCCCTGTGATCCCGAGATACTTGCCTCCAATATCTCCACCGCATCATTGACCTTGCGGATAAGATACTGGAAGGCCCTGCCACCCTTGCCGAAAAGAAAGAAGTAGTGGTTCCCGCTGCTGCTTTGCCAAGGACAGATGGCATTCCAATCGCCCAAAGTTACAGTCGGCGATGTAAGTGTGGGGATCTGCTCGAAGGAGACGGCATCGAAGACGCGAATGATGGCGTCTGTCTGCGCGATAGTGATGATTACATCGCCAGCAGCGGCCTTCCCTTTTTCCCCACCGCCCAAGCCATACACCGTGGTGATAAGTTTGGTCCTCCCGGTAACGATGCTGGTAACCTCGGAGATGGGGGACGAAGAGTCGAGGTTGAGGACGTGGAAGCCGCCCGTGGCGGTCATGCCATCGTTCCCAATCAGGAGGGCAGGCGCGTTCGATGCTGCATCAGGGTAGTAGACAGAGGTCCAGCCAGACTTGATCTCGCGGCTCTCGGCGGTGACGTTAAGCCGGATGTTGACGGGCGCTGCCTGGGTTGCGACGGCGGCAACAATGGTGCACAGAGGCCACACGGCCAGCACCATCCTTGAAGCCATCTCGACAGCTGACTGGATGCGAATTTGGTCAGCCGAGAGCTCAAGATGTTTCCAGGCAGGTCTGGAAACTAAAGCGCCCGCAATCGTTCCCGGCAAAAAATACACGCACCTCTGATTGAACAACAGACAGGCCTGGGGAGACTGCGCTCGTCTTTCATGTCTTGGGTGCGGCCTGGAGCGCTGTATTTATCGTGGCCGGCGAAAGGCCCACGTGCTCAGACGGCGGTTTCAGCAGGCCCAGTAGACTCGAGTCGAGATGATGCGATGCCGCACCAAGAAGCGTGCAGGGCGCTGGACGTAGAGCCAATAGGGAGCCCTGTAGACGGAGAGCCTCCTGGGCTGGGCGCGGCGGAACCATTTGCCAAAATACCACCTTCCGGAATCGACGGCTTGGCGGATTTTGCAGAAGAGGAAGATGAAGAAGAACATGATGGGCGACTGCTGAACGTTCTTGGCTTTGATGCCACGGACCGTCTGATGAATCGCGCCCTAGTATTGATGTGACTTGTTTGTTTTTGGTAAATGGTGGTACATGGAGAGAGGAGAGAGGGCGTGTCATTGGATTGGCTGATGGTGCTGATTGTCGCTGTGATGCAGTAGGGTCTGGTGTTTCAGGTGACGGGTGTATTTGGGCGACATGGTGATGCAGTGGTGCTAATATCACATAAAGATACGGCAGGAGCAACCGTCTCCCGTTCAATCGACCAATACCCTCATCGACAAGTCCTTGCGACGACGGCAGCATGCACGCCCATCATCTAAACTTGCCCGAGAGCCAGCCCTGCCCCGATTCCAGTGCCACCAGGCCCCATTCTAGTTACCGACACCACCCCTGCTCCCGCTCTCCCTAGCGTAGCTGGCGGGACCCAAGCCCGCAGACGTAAACCTGCACAAAACCCCGCCATCCTCTGTATCCCCGCCGCAGCCGCCGGGCACGCACGCACACAACGCTACTTGCCGCGAGTCATAATCCCGTCTCCGGACCCAGGGGCTCAACCAAGGACACTTAGCGACATCCGATATGGTGTAGTGCCTAACATCTGGCACTCTCACGGAGGACCCCTCCTGAGGTCTGCCAAGCCCGGGGTTCGATTCCCCGTATCGGAGCCAGCCCGGTTAGCTCAATCCGTAGAGCGTGAGACTCTTAAGACTCTGGTCATCTCAAGGTTGCGGGTTCGACCCCGCATTGGGCTCAGTTCCCGATGCGCCTGTTTATGAGGCATATCAACCTATTTTTTTTTGTTGATAATTTTCGTTTACCGACTTAAGGAATTCTTCGCAGTTCCAGTGCTGCCACTGCCTGAAAACTTCTCCTATCCAGCTAACCATTTACCTTGTCCGCACGACAGCAGGATCACACCACCAACATTCCCTTTCACCATGCGGGGCGCGTCTTATTACCCGCCAGGCACCGCAGCCCTTTTGTCTTGGAAGCAAATTTTCCGTCGCCAGCCCCAAGTGGAGAGCCCAGAGCCACGGAAGAGGTCAACTCCGTCTAATGGCACGCAAATATCCGCGATGCAACTCACTGTGTGGATGGATTAACTGCTAGTTCGCCGGGAACCTCCACTTCCCCGCACTCCCTCGCGTGTCCGTCACTGCCGCTCCTCCAAATGCCGACCCTCGTCGCCTCGTTGGGGAATGCATCGCGTCCCGCTAAGCGACTTGCGAACTCCTGGTGCTCGGGACCGCCACGCCGGTTACTGTTTTTTTTTTTATAACATCGCGTCAACTGCGACCCGAACGAGCCTCCCCATTGGCGCGCGTGACGGGCCCTGAACATGCTCGACCCGTTGGGGGAGACATATACCCGCCGTGGCAGGAGATCCCGTCTAGGTTGGCTCCGTGGCCATCATAAAAGGGGAGCCTTCAACCGAGTTATGATGCCACTGTCTTCCTATCCTCAAGCCCTGAGCCCGAGCCACCTCCTCAGCTGCCTTCTTGGACTTGATCATCGGCTGCACTGGCTATCTAATCACGCGCTAGCCCTAGGTCATCGCGATGGATCTTTCCAAGACCGGAAACATGCGTTGGGGCATGAAGACGGCCTGCCGTGGCCTCCTCATCGCCGCCCTCGCCGGCGCGCCCAGCCTCGTCAAAGCCGACAACCCCATTGTGCAGACGCGGTTCACAGCCGACCCAGCCCCAATGGTTTACAAGGACCGCCTCTACGCCCTAACCAGCCATGATAACGACGGCGCGACCTACTTCAACATGACGGACTGGCGCCTGTACTCGACCGACGACATGGCCAACTGGCAAGACCACGGCAGCCCCGCCGGCCTGGCCACCTTCCCGTGGGCCTCCAAAGACGCCTGGGCCCCTCAGGCTATCGAGAGAAACGGCAAGTTCTACCTGTACGTGCCCATCCAGCCCCGCGCCGGCGGCGGCGCGGCCATCGGCGTCGGCGTGGCGGACAAGATCGAGGGGCCCTACAAGGACGCTATCGGCCGCCCGCTGGTCCAAAACGGCGAGATCGACCCCACCGTCTTCCTCGACGACGACGGCCAGGCGTACCTCTTCTGGGGCAACCCGAACCTGTCGTACGTCAAGCTGAACGCGGACATGATCTCCTACTCGGGCCAGCCCGTCAGGGTCCAGCTCACGGTCCAGGGCTTCGGCCAGCGCGCCGCCGGCAAGGGGGACGCCCGGCGCCCTACGGCGTACGAGGAGGGGCCCTGGCTGTACAAGCGCAACGGCGTCTACTACATGCTGTACGCCGCCAATTGCTGCAGCGAGGACATCCGCTACGCCACGGCCCCCGCCGTGACGGGCCCTTGGACGTACCGCGGCCTCATCATGGCGACCGAGGGCGCCAGCTTCACCAACCACCCGGCCGTGGTCCACTACAAGAACAACGCCTACTTCTTCTACCACAACGGCGCCCTCCCGGGGGGCGGCGGCTACGCTCGCTCCGTCTCCGTCGAGCGCTTCTCGTACGGCTCCGACGGCTCCATCCCCACCATGCGCATGAGCAAGACCGGGGCGCCGCAGATCAAGGACCTCGACCCCTACGTGCGCGTCGAGGCCGAGACCATTGCCTTCTCGCGCGGCGTCGGAACCGAGCCGTGCTCCGAGGGCGGGATCAACGTCAACAACATCAACAACGGCGACTACGTAAAGGTCGCCGGCGTCGCCTTTGGCGACTCCCCGGGACCCAAGACGTTCACGACCCGCGTCGCGGCCGGCGGCAGCGCGCAGGGCGCCAAGATCGAGCTGCGCCTGGGTGGCGAGTCCGGCACCCTCGTCGGCTCCTGCAACGTCCCCGCCAGCACCGGCGGCTGGCAGTCCTGGACCACGGTGTCTTGCGGCGTCAGCGGGGCGACGGGCACCAAGGACCTGTTCTTCAAGTTTGTTGGAAGCGGCTCGGGATATCTGTTCAACATGAACTGGTGGCAGTTCTCCAAGTAGGGTGGTAGGTGATGGGGACTGCACCAGCTGCGTCGGTCGCAACGGTGCGGGTGCCCAGGGTGAACCACAGTCAGTGCCAGCTAGCAAGGGTCGGCGGGCCTTAGGGGCCCTCGCCGACCTCGGCGGGTGGGCGGACGGGCGGACGGGCGCTGATGATGGTGACAATTCAAAGCAGCATATAGAGCCCGAGGGTGTCCTACCCTCAACATGTCTCCTACCAGTTCCTCCAGATAGAGATCAAGCCAATCGGTCTACTACGTGTGCCAATGTTCTGCGGTACCGGTCACTGTCCCCGTATCTAATGAGACCGACGTCGGGAGAACAATTCGGGGGCCCGTCGGAATTTTACAACGGCTCCTCTGCAAATTGAGGCCCTCGGTTCTATGGACATTACTGCAATGATCACTACGTTTAGCAGTCATGGCCTTCACTGTCGTCTCGGTCACGCTCCAATTCCCTTCCAATAGAGGGTTACTGTAAGGTAGTACGTACAGCAACAGGCGTAGAACGCCCCCTCCAGATGGATAGAAGCCGATCTGCGTATCTTGTTTCTATAGACCACTCTAGATGCTCGCCCCAAGCAACAGGCGCGCCTACGAGCAGCAGCCTGGGCCAGCGGAACTCCATCCAGATGGTGATTCCGAAACGCTGCCCTGGACGGAAGGCATCGCGGGGTCCGCAGAGTTGAAGTATCAGCCTCCGTGAGGGACCCGAACAGGTCCGTGACAGCCGTCATGAACTTGCCCATCGTGCCCGAAACGGTTGCCCTGCCGTCGGTCCGGGGCGATTTGGGCCTCCATCAGTCGTCACACACAACGGGCTTCCTGTGCTGCTCCGCCAGACAGGGTGGCCAGCGGTCGGGAACATCTCGTTCCACGCTAGCTGTAGATAAATTCCGTGGCATCACATGGCTTAGGGATATAGCGTAGCGGGGGCCACGTCCATCCTGTCCTCCAAAGGTGCCATCACATCTCTTGCCGCCTGATCCAGGGCCAAGTTCCGCCGGCAACCATTTCCCAGTTTGTCGCATTGTAGGTATTCTCATCGGCGGGTGACTTCGGCCCGGTAGACAGGAATCGGCGCGCCTGGCTCAAGATCTCGCCCGATCTCGACCACGATGATGAAGAGGTACGCAGGCATGGTCCTGGAGAGGACGACGGCTAGGGTGTTCAGGTTCGTGCTGACCCAGGCTGTTTGTCGTGTCAGGAGAGTGTGGTGGTGATGGTCGCCATCAGTGCGTCGGCGGGCGCAAGCGATAGCAGCTCCCAGGCTCAGAAGCACATGACATGCAAGTGGTGTCCGGTTCTGCAACAAAGCTTAGGCTCCGCTCATCGTCTCGAGTGAAGGAGGGGCTTGGTTCCACGAGAGAAGGAGGCGAGGAGATGGCGTCGACCTTGGGGAAAGTCGGGGGGCGAAACCGGCATCGCTGCGGCTTGGGAGCGAGTGTTTGCGAAAGGTACCCGAAATAGCTGGCTCCAGCGATGGGAGACAGATCGCCGGCTCATCTGCGCTCGCGGGAGCGAGGCCGTTCTTGGTTGTCGACACCCCAAAGATGTGAGCTTCTTCAAGGACAATCCGCCTTGTGGGATGGGGGAGATTCTAGAATGGCGCAGACCCCTGCGGCACACGGATTAACTAGTAGGAGATAAAAACTCACGGCGACATCGACCATGGACGCCCAAAGCCCGAGAACTGATACGCGCAGAAATGGCACGGCTAACGGAAGGATTTGGCTATGCAGTTGTCCTGCAGCTTGGAGGCCACCGCCACTCTCCACCCCACACACCATGTTAGGGTCCCTGTCCGCTTTCTCGGGGGCGGCATCCTCCCCCATCGTCCCCCAGCGTGCTTTTCTCCTCGGCCACAGGCGATTCTGAGATGCTCCGCAACCAATCCATTTTACTCTGCCAATTGTCTGGCTCAGCTATAAATCCCTTGGCTAATATGCGTAATCTAGCAACACCCACAGCGACAACGCGAATGGTGGCCGCATGTACCACAGCACGGGCTACTCGACGCTAGCATCCATCTCAATCTGTAGTGATTGCGGCACGTATTGAGGGGTTACATTGTCACTAATGACGGGCACAGCCCACCATTTATTCAAGGCACCTGGGCTATGAAGTGGTTTTGGCCCCCGAACCACCACCCTAAGCGTCGTGCCGCGCGGAACGTCGCGGCTTGATCGACTTGCGCCATAAAACAATAAATTCGTGAGAGGTCCCTCCCACCCACCCTAAACTCATGGCACCTGCCAAGGCCCGAATCATTTCGCACCATCCGACTGCTTCACAAACAGTTGAGCCGCACTGACCCGTCTTCTGTCAGTGATGTCTCCTGTTCCCTCGCCCGCCACCGGCCTCCTGAGCAGGTCCTTTGACGCACCGGCACCCAGCAGTAATAGCGGCACTGCCAAGCCCGATTTGGCCGACATTGTCGGCTGGGTTTCCGAAACTAACGATCGGGGGACGGCCGACATCCTCTGGTCCAGCTGCGTGACCATTATTCTGTGCGTCTGGATCGCCACGTCCCCCAACGTTCCTGGCCCCGAAGACAAATGGCATCATCGATGGTTTGACAAGCTCAATCTCGCCTGCATCGGCTTGGTGGGCCCACACTTCCTCTTGAGACTTGCCGTCGGCCAGCTATTAAACGCGAAGCAGAGCGTGAGAGTAGGTTTTCCCCTCCCTTCCTGCGGTTACGCACGGAGCTAACCATTTCCATATTCTTTTGCAGATACTTCGCCAGTTACCCGGAGGAGAAACATGGACGCTGAGACATGGCTTCTTTGCCAATATGGGTGGCTTTTACATCCGCGCTCCTGATTATCCTAATGGCTTCCCCATCAACGGCGAGCAGCTCGCTTACTTGGTCAAATACCGGCATCTGGATTTTCCAACCCTGACAAGTGAGGATATCAACCGGCGCAATCGGATTGATGGGCTTTCCAAGTATGCCACTAACGCAGTTATTCCAAGAACATACACCAAGTGCAACTATATTCAAAGCTAATACCTATGTGGCAGGTTTATTACCATTTGGCAGGTTGCTTGGTTCATCATCACCCAGTCCCAGAGGCTTGCCAAAGGATACCCCATCACCACACTCGAACTTACAGCTTTGTCGTTTTGCGCGAATACGATCGCCACATCAGCCTGCTGGTACTACAAGCCCGCTATCGAGCAGGCCATCTTCCTTGACACCAGAGGCTCCGTAACTACCGCAGCAATTCGAGAGAGTGCCCGCGCCAAATCGAAGGTCTGCTCCCAAATCCGTTGCCCCTCGAAAGGAGCGTCGGTCTCTAACTGTACGGCCTCATGCATTAGACGCATCCAAACCTGCCAGCGATCGATGATGGGACGCCATTGGACTTTCTCTCACCGCGACCTATTTACACGAAGAAGTTCTGGCACTACCTCCCCATGACCCAAGGCCTTTATACTCGGTTATTCAACAAACAAGCAAAAGAAGACCGGTGGCAACGCATTCCATCCAATACGTGGCTCGAAATCAGGAATTTACGCTGGGGTTTGTTAATGGCCGTTGCTATGCTGCCTTTCAGCGTTACCTTCTTCGGTGCCTGGAACTTCCATTTTCCAACAACGGCGGAACGCAGCATTTGGAGATTATGCGCCACTTATCACGTTATGTTCAACCTTGTTGGGTGTCTGTCTTACATCCGAAACTACGTGGCCGAGGTTCTGGTGTGGGTGCGGATGCTTTTGCGACGGCTGGTTGGTATGAAACCTGTTGATAACGAACAAAGTTGCGGTATGCGTGCAAAGGGCGACGAAGAGTCAAGCCAGGGGATACATCCTCTGCCACCTGGCAATGGCGCACCCGAGCAGCGCAGCCTCGAATACGGACCAGCAAGGCCTACCGCAAACGGTACTTCGCACGGACGGCTAGCAAGGGACAGCCGCACGGCAAGCGGCGGCTCTTCCCATATTAACAGCCACCAGAATATGCGTCCCCGCAAAGGAGCAGAAGACGCGACGCTGCTTCGGTTTAGAGTCGCACTTTGGTTCTTCTGCTTTGTTTACCTTGTCTGCAGACTGTACATCTACATCGAGAGTCTGGCGGGTCTCAGGTCGCAACGGCGAGGGGTTTACATGACAGTCAACAAGTTCCTTCCATCGATATCATAAACCCTTTCATGCCTATCCGGCATGGGGCTTTATTGGCTACGGGAGATGTTAGCCCAAACAGAGCTCCAACCCATCCGTCACTCTCCAGTCACCAAACCACATATCAAATTTGATATTCCGTCCCTGCGCACATTTTCTTTCTTAGGATCTACAAACCGAGCAGACTAAGCCAGAACCTTCTGGATGTCGGCTGGCTCCAGAATCCTCTTGTCATAGCCCTCCAGCAGAACCTTGATCATTGCCTGTGCGAGCTTGTTCGCCACAATGCCCTTTGACAGGGAGGCCGCCATCTTGCGCAGCGCGGATCCGTTGGTGGGGATGATGTCGCCCGGGCGGACAAACCATGACTGGAACTTCTCAGGCTGTCCATCTGCCATGTCGGCAAGACCCTTCTCGACTTGGCCCTAGATGTGTAGAACAGAAAGAAGGTCCGTTAGAACATAACAACGCGCTGATTAAGGAAGAGTGGTGATAAAGATAAGAGTCCGGTACGACTTGGGGTGAGTGGATCGGCTGTCAGCTGCGGCCTGAGAGCGACGCACCTTGATCTTGCGGCTGTCCTCCATGAATCGCAAGGGCTTCTTCTGGTCCCATTCGGCCAGCCAGCCGCTGCAAAAGACCATCCTGAAGATCTTGGCCTCTCCGGCCAGCTTGGCGTCGACGAAGGCCTTGGCGGCGGCGAGAGTGTAGTCGACGCTGACCTTGCGGGCCGTCTCGACATCCGGGAATTGGTTGGCCCGGCCGCCGATGGCCCTGTTGTAGATCAAGGAAACGAAGTTACTACTGGATAGATCAAGGCCGGTGGAATACAGTAGCAATTAATTACGAAAGGGCGTGATGGAAGCGTACCAGAGACAGCCATTGGCTCCCTGGAGCTGGGAAAGCAATTCTGGCGGGTAGGAGCTGAAGTCCTCGTGCAGAATGACCGTCACCTTCTCGTGGCTGGTGACGGCCTCTGAAAGCGGCTTGCGCGTCAGGGCGATGATGTGCTCGATGGCGGGATTTTTGATGCACTCCTTGACCAGCTCGCCGCCGGTGAGGCCGGTGCATCCAGTGACGATGACCTTCATTGTGATCTGATAGGAACGCTTGGTTCTGGATTCTGTTTGAGTGATATCTGGATGGGAGGCTTGTCAAGGGGTGGTGCGAGAGCTTGGAGTTTGATGTGAAGGTGAAGATTTTGTGGGTTCCACGCCTAGGCAAATTGCTATCTGTCCCGTCCCTCGGCTTCTTGTGGTGCGGCTCCCCCACTCCCATTGCTGCTGCAAGCAGTTTAGCCTGGCGGTTCTGCAGGAGCTGCCCTGGGCAAAGCCGGGCGAGGGTCGGGCACCACTCAGGGCTGCAGGCGTGGTGGCATGCTGCATATGCCCTGCAGCTCGATGTAACGGTATGACGGGCGCCCCAGATCACAGCACCAAAACTGGTTAGAAAATGCAGAGAATTCTGGATGTGAGGAGCATTGAAGCGTGCAAACGCTCACCGCCTTTGAGTTTTTGGCTCTCTTTTAAAAGTGGGAGCAGAAACGGTCGTTAGGTGCTCCGCCATGTAAACGGGTCGAACGAAGATGGAAAAAGGAGACCGCAATGCTCATTTTGCCTTGAAATACTATTTTGTCGCAAGCCTTTTGGCTTTCGGCTTGCCATTTGTTTCTCATTCCTTCATTGTTTGCATTGCCGACCCCCGACTGTGCAAAAATAGGGTTCGTTCTCTTCCTGCCAATACCGAGCTAATAGAGATGTCGCTTCAATACTTTACCCAGGGAGTGCACACCATCCCTCTGTGCTGTTACACCATACACCCCGCTGTGTACCCCCCGTTACAAGGCCGGCATCTTTGCGGTAAAACCCATGTCTACTCCTCAACACTAGCCTCGTTGAACTCAAGCGAGTCGAGATTGATCTCAGGCGTGCGGCTCTTGCACAGCAGCTTGGTGCCGGGCCTGAGCACGCAGTCAGTTCCCAACCAAATGTTGGGCACGGCCGGGACGCTGTCGGCCATCTTCCAGTCGTAGTTGACCAGCATGTATACCAGTATGATCTTGATCTCGGCCGCGGCGAAGAAGCGGCCCGGGCACGCGTGCTTGCCGTAGCCAAAGGGCGCCACGAAATCGGGCGACGTCGACACGAGCTGGGCCTTTGCCTCGGCCCTGGCCTCGGCGTTCCCGCGGATGCGGTAGAAGCGGTAGATGTCGAACTTTTCCGGCTCCGGATACGTCTGCGGGTTCATGAGGGTCAACTTGGCGTTAAGCGCAAGCCGGCCCCCTCTGTGCAGCTTGATACCGCCTTGAATATCCGTATTCTGAAGGACGAAGCGCTGCATTGCCACTGGATAGCACCAACGAATATGTCGTTAGCAGCAGCAACAAAAACGGAATTCCGTACTGGCAGATATCTCGCTGTTCGGACAACCTACAGTTGTTAATGGGCTTCACCCGTTGCGTCTCCTTGAGGGCACTGTCCATGAGCTTCAGCTTGTAGAGGGACTGCTTGCTCCACCCCTCTGCCCCGAAGACCTCGACGGCCTCCTTGCGTAGCGGCTCGATCAGTTCACAGGCGGCGGCCAGGCGAGCCATCACTTGGGCTAACAAGTCCGTGGTCGTGTGGGTGACGGCGAAAGACAGGGTCAGCCGAACGATGGGTTGCCGCCCGCCTCCTTTTCGGTCCATATGAGCACGTCGTTGTGCTCGAGCGCCTCGACGCTGTCGGCCTGGCACCCTGCCCGCTCGCATCGGCGCGCCTCGGCGACGCCCTGGTGAGTTTTTGGGAGCGACTGCTAACGTCGGGGACCTGGCGGTACTCGGCGTAAAAGTGGCATGCCATGGGCCAGAGAAAGCGGGGCCGGGTGCGGAGCACGCGTGCGACCGACGTGGGCATGGCCGTGTAGGACTTTGTCACCTTGAGCCACTCCTCGTGAACACGGAGTTTCCCGATCGGGGAAATAGTTCAAAAGCCCGACCCCGACCGCTTGTCTTGCCGCGGCCAGCCGGGGCTAGTGGCGCCGCCACAGCTGCGGGAACATGCAGGGCAGATTTAACCATGGAGATATGGCGACCCTGTCTATTCCCAACTTCCTTGCCGAGACTTGGACGGTTTCCACCGAGCCTATATGCGATCTGAACTACCATCGCGGACTAGCCTATGGTATTTTCTAAGCCGAAGTATAGTATATCCCATGCCGTGAATACAAAAAGCGCTGTCTATGACTTTCCTTGAGGCGTGGAGGCGGGGGTCGGTGAGAGTAGTAGTACTTTTATACAAACTTGAAGCAACTGAATGCGGCAGGGTTCTATTGAGGAGAGTGTAAGAGGTCAGGTGAGTTGATGTGGAATTGCGCAAGGGCCTCCTATCTCCAAAACATGGATGGTATGTGCCATGAAAGCGTGGGCTGCCCGGGCGCCATCCATTCCAAGACGAGGGTATTCGGCGGGAAGAGAAAAACACAGCTCATCTTTTAGCTGAATCCTGAGAAGTTATCAGGAAAACCCACTCCTGTGTCCAGTCAGACCCAACCCGGCTTTGGCAAATGCTAGCTCTACTTCGGCCGCATCTGGAGCGGGATCGTTGCTGGTCAGGTAAGAAAGGCCTGGAATTAACTGTCGGTGCCAGTTTGTGGCGTGGGTTCTGATCAGAGTTGCTTGTCCGTAGGAGTTGGTGCTCGAAGCTGAATCCAGTCGTCGATGATGAAATGGTAATAAAGCCTCCAGGGAAGATGCATCTCGACTGAGGTGGTTTCTAACTGAAGTATTCATGACAGTGAGAATCCAAAGTGCGCGAAGTGGCGGAAGGTCGGGTGTGCCAGTAGTAGGATAAAAGAGCGCAGTTGGTCAATGTTAATGTCTAAAATTGGACTGAAATACCCTGGCGCGATGGCAAGCCCCGGCCTGGTGGATTCGAGGTGAAATAGTAGCGCATGGCTGGTGGGGGAAGAGATTAATGGAAAAAAAGGAAGTAAATGGAGGACACTTAGCGAGCACCGCCTGGAGCAAAGCGTTGGATTTAAAACCAGAAAAAGCTGGAGAAATTCTTTCCATATGCAAAATACCACCTCCACCACCAACCCAACCCTAGAGCACTAACCTCCCGAATTTCGCACGAAAAGGTTTGAATATAGCTTTATACATTATTCCATGACTTATTACTTTACCATTTTCCATTTGAACCCTCGTACGCTAATCCAGGGTTGTGCGCAGATCAGAAACAGAGAACCGACTTCATCATGCCTGTCTCCCAGAAACAAATGGAGGCAGACCAAATCGCCATGAGGTTCGTCGAACTGCTGGGGCAGCGCGACGAGTTCGACGCCCAGCAGTACATTACAGATTGCGCCGACACCTCTGGCCTCGACGGCTGGGAAATCCAGGGCCATCACCGCACCATCTACCACTGGGTTACCAGCTACGTCTGGGACTTGGAGTGCCGCGACAAGACTCCCGCCCCCACCGTTGTGGCCGAGCTGGCGGTCATCCGCCGGATTGCCAAGTCGGTCTTCGACTTCAAGACCGACCACCACGTGCCCCAAATGGCGTTTTGCGCACTCTTGGCTATTGGAATCCTGGAGTGGCTGGCACCAACTATTAACGAAACCCTCTTCCCCGAGACTGAGGGCCCTGCATGCGAGACCCGCGGGGGCTACTCAGGTATTGTGAATTGTTTTGGTGTGGGCAGTTTCAGACGGGGGAGTGTCAGGAAGCTAATAATTAATAACCCGCATGGTTGCAGTCAACATCACGCCCGATCATCTCTGCATTCCGTATGCACCGGAGCCCCTTCTCAAGGACTTCGTATCTCGCCTGCGCATCTTCTACACCAGGGTCGTCTGACCGCCCAATCATGGATGTGATGCGGGGAGAGAACAGCTCCGGCATGAGCTGCTAGACAATGACGATTACGAAGGTGAGCACATAATGTTTCTGATATCTTGCAGGCTTCCCGATCATCCTTTCTCCTCTCTTTCCCACTAACGACCCTGCCCTAGAAATCTGTGACGATGCCTGGGATAGCGCTCAGTGTGGCCGCATTATCGAGCTCATTGGAGCCATCAAAGTCGTCTAGCTTCTCGCCGCCAAGTTCGGGTTTCCCTGGTTAGACCACCCGAAAAGCTACCCGCTCGGCACAAGCCCGGCTATGGTGCCTTTAAAACAAGGCGGATCTATTTTCATGCCGGAGGTGGCGGACACACCCGAGATACATAGTTCTCCCACTAGCTCTTAAATACCGTTTTCCCCTACCTTTCTACTCTCTAAACAGCGCCCTCCCAAGTCCCCAGCCAATTAACGCCGGTACCAGCCAACTACAGACTGCAGTTGGATAATTGCGGTTGCCTGTAATATTCCGCCCCCAGTCAACTTCGCATTCCCAGCTCTTCTTCCTGCATTTAGTGCCGGAAAAAATCACACTTTCCCATTGGCTACCTGTTTTCTTCCACATGTCCTGCATTTCAGCCGCACATGGGAATCCCCAGCCACCGCCACCCGGCTATTGGCGAACAAGGTTCCCCCTCATGAGCTGAATCCAAAACCTTTCTCCGCACCAGATGTATCTCCCCATCCTTCTGCAGCACTCCAGGTCATTCAACCCCGCGGCCAGCTACCTTTCCCCCAGAACCTATCAGATGGATCCTCACGATGAAGAGATCACTGCGGATGAAATGCGACAGAGAACAAAGGCAATGTTGGATCATCTACGCCGTGAGGTTCTCTTGCTAGGGGGCGGCCACAACGTCGAACGCCATATTCCGCTGCGCCTTCCCCTCCCTAGATCTTCTCCGAGGCAAGATGGCAACCGTATTCAAGGTGCCGTGTCCATGGCTGTGCTCCTAGGCCTCTTCAAAGTCAGACTCATAGGCATCTGGGGGCTGTGTCTCTTGTCTCTTTACCTATGGGAGTACACCGTTCTGTCAACACGCGAGGAGCCGTACGATGCCCTTGCCTTCGAGGTTTTCTATTCCCAGATCAGGGCACTCGTCTTTCACGCCATAACCCTGTTGTTGATGCCCTTTGTTAGCCGTGGAATCTACTGTACCATATCCGCCTTGGCTACCTTTCCACATCTGCCAGCGAGTTTTCCACAGAGTGCCGGAGTTCTTGCAAAGCTCCTTTTACCTTTCCTGGTTTTCTTCGGCATAGTGCGCTTGGCACGGGGACGAGCCTCCCAACTACTGCGGCGGGTGTCAGAATGGAGATCATGTAAGCTTCCCTAGGAACGGGGTCTTTGGCTTCTTTCTACACCAAACACTGATATCTAATAACGTGCATATTCGGGATGTACATAGCCTACTCACGAAACTCCCTTACCACGTCCATAACTGTTGCCATTCTCGAAAGTCTACGTGTTGTTCAAAAAACGTTGGACTGGTGCCGCAGACTATTTACGAAGCTGGCGGATGTGTTTCCTATCATTGCTCTGACGAGATCTCTGCCGCCCTTTCGGCCATACTCGCCATCAAAGCCATGGGTTTACCGGCCACTCACCCAGGGTAAACAGATCAGACTGATTCGACTACATCGCTGGATCCCTGTTCTCGGCGTTCGGGCGACAATCATGCATGTAGGCCTGGAGAATTCGCCTCCATACGACGCCATCTCTTACCACTGGGGCACCTCTGAGGAGCGACGCCGGCTCACTGTGCTTGACGAAACAGACGCCTCCTCCACCCCCAAGTGGCTCGAGGTCTTCAAGCCAACCTACGACATGCTGTATAGCCTCTCCTCCCCTTGGAAGACCCGCATCATATGGATCGACGCCGTGTGTATCGACCAGTCACAACATACCAGCAACACGGAGAAGGGTCCGCAGGTAATGCTCATGAGAGAGATATATGGGAAGGCCAGCCGCGTTATTGTATATCTGGGCAACTCCATACTGGCACCCGCAGCCCACAGCCTGATACATGACCTTTTACTCATGCGTTCGGCTGGGTGTTCCGGCTCGGAGCTCTACCAGGTGGTGTCAAGGGGTGAAGGCATGAGTGTCAGATGGGTGGCCCTGATACAGCTACTTTCACAGCCTTGGTTCATGCGTGTCTGGGTGATTCAGGAGGTAGCTGCAGCGTCCCTCAACTCCCCGAGAATCTGGTACGGCGGAAGACTTTACGACTGGGTTTCTCTCCTGGACGCATTTGGGCTCCTCGAAGACTTCGAGATGACCGGCTTCCTACACACCATACACCAAGGCCGCGTGGCATTTAGCCATCTCCTGAGCATGCGAAGCATGGATGACGTGCGCAAGGGGACCTTCTTGGTTGACCTCAACAGGTGGTCAAAGGGCCTGATGGAAAACCCAGCACCTCTGTTGTACCTTCTGGAAAGCTCCATGGCCCACCAGGCTTCCGACGCCAGGGACAAGGTCTTTGCTCTGCTTGGTTTGATGGGAGAGGATCCGCCTCCCACGCTCACTCCCGACTACAGCAGCGAGACAACGGCCGAATCTGTGTACATCAAGACGGCAGAATACCTCCTAACCGACGAGAGGCCACTCGCATTTCTTCAGTTGGCTGGGGTGGGCGTCAGCAGACGCCATCGGGCACTTCCCTCCTGGGTCCCGGACTGGGTGGACTCGCCCGACCGGGGCGCATCCATGTCATCAACCCTCTGGCGCAAGTCGCACGTCCGCTACTACTACCAAGCAACTGGAAGTGCTGGGCCGGTATTCAGCGTCAAACGCGTCGGCGATCGTGAAGCATTGGCGCTATTGTGTACTCGCTTGGACACGTTGACGCGCCTCAGCGCTGTCCATACGCCGGCAACCGAGGACGACAAGTTCATTTTAAGTGCGCCGAACACATACATCGACCCCCGAGATATGCTGCATGCTCATCGATGGCATAAAGAAACGCTCGCCATGGTGATAGGGAGCCATGCCCCGGACCCGTATCCGGGTGGGCGACAGGCCCCCTGGCCAGCACCCTCCCCGTCAACTGCCCCCAAGGAAGCAGACAGCGACAAGCCGTCAGGTCTGGGGAGTGCGCCATCCCAGCCGCTACGAGAAGTCTTCTGGCGCGTCTTGACGGGCGACCTCAACATGCGCTGGATGATGCGCCCGGCCCCGATGTCCCGCCAGGACGACTACGACAACTGGGTCTCCTTCATGGCCGAGATGGCCGGCTACCTGGCCGCCGACAGCAGAGACACGCACGTTCCCGTCCATGACGCGGCCTTCTGGGGCAGACACGACGCCGGGCTGCCGTTTGCCAACGCCATGGCGAGCTGCGCTGTCGGGCGCCGCGTTTGCGTCACGGCCGCGGGTCGCTTGGGCTGCGTCGCGCCGCTATGCCAGGTCGGGGACGAGGTGGTGCTGATCCACGGGGCGCCAACGCCGTTTGTTATCAGGAAGGCCCCGGCAGAGACGGGAGCAGATGGCAATCTCTACGAGCTGGTTGGTCCCTGCTACATGCACGGCGTTATGGATGGGGAGGCTAGCGGCGCCCGCGGCGCGGAGCAAATTGTCTTTGTTTGAGGGCCTCAAAAGTTTGCCTCGTATGCGTGGTACCTGTGGTTGGCCGTTGGTGGGCCTCCCGCCGACAGGCCGATGACCCTGGAGGTAGGCTGCCTTGCCCCTTCTCCAATAGGAACACGCATTTGTGATTTACCCCGCAATCGCCTCTCGACTGCATCGATGCAACAAGCTGGATCGGGACCAGTCCAGTCGACCTTTGGCAAATACCAAGCGCTCAATGGCGCCTCGCTTTTTCTACTTCTCCAATCCAATGCAACCAACCGCCCATACGCGCTTCATGTGCCTCATGCATGGAGGCCAGTATGACCGGCCAAGCTTGGACAGTTTGACGAGCTTCTCCCTTCCCATCTCCCCAAGCAGATTACTTCGTGTATTTTTTTAGCCCCTCGCCCCCCCTCCTAGATTTTCCCTCTTCTTCTTCCTCGTCTACATCCTCTTCTACTCCACTAGAGGTTCCCACTCCCTCTCTACGTCCTCAAGTTCCAAGCACACAAAACAGCACTCCACCGCCGCCATGACCGCAGGAGGTACGTCTGTGCCCGACCTCAGGTCCAAGGAGCATCGAGCCCTGTTCGACATCATCGACAGGCTCCGCTCGCATGGTATCGGTGAGGTCATCGACCTGCCAGAGATCATTGTCTGCGGCGATCAATCGGCAGGCAAAAGCTCCGTTCTCGAGGCCATCTCCGGACACCCCTTTCCCACCAAAGATGGCGTCTGCACCCGCTTCGTCACCGAGCTGGTTCTCCGACGGGAACCAAGCCACAAATTCAAGGTCTCGATCAGTCCCGGCCCCGGGCGAGCCGCTAAGGACGCCGAGCGGCTACGCGGCTTTTCAGACACCATTCGGTCCGAGCAGCGGCTTGATGAGGTCGTCGATGCGGCCAAGGAGGCCATGGGTCTGTCGGACTCGAAACGTTTCAGCAACGATGTCCTACGTGTCGAGATCTGTGGCCCCGACCAGGCCCATCTGACCATGGTTGATCTGCCAGGCATCTTTCGCGCAGGGAGCTCCGAGCAGTCGGTCGAGGACGTCAAAACTGTCAGCGCCATGGTGCAAAAGGCCATGAAGCGCCCCCGCAGTATCATCCTCGCCGTCGTCTCGGCCAACAACGAGTTTAACAACCAAGAGATCACTGAGCTGGCCCGGAAGCTCGATCCGACTCGGAGTCGCACTCTCGGTCTGATCACCAAGCCCGACAAGCTCGACGAGGGCAGCCGCTCCGAAGAATTCTACATCAAGCTCGCTCGCAACCAGGAGGTCCATCTCGAACTGGGCTGGCACGTCCTGCGGAACAGAGGTAGCAACGACACAAGTGACACCAGCGCAAAGACACGCGATTACATCGAGAAGGTGTTTTTCTCCAAAGGCGCCTGGCTCTCGGTTGACTCGTCTCTTCTCGGCGTAGCCGCTCTTCGCAGACGGCTGAGCGAGGTACTTGGAGGATCCATCTTGACCAACCTTCCTGCGCTACGCGGAGACGTGCTATCCAACATTCACAAGTGCGAGGACACTCTCGTCAGGCTGGGAGACCCTCGCAGCAGCCCAGGAGAGCAGCGCAGATACCTCCTCGCCGTCAGTCGGCGATTCTCGTCTCTCATGACCGCCGCGATCGAGGGCAACTACAGCGACAGCTTCTTTGGGGACGCCAAGACTGACGATGGCTACGCCAAACGAATCCGGGCCTTGGTTCAAAACAGCCTGCGGGACTTTGGAGAGAAGATGCATCAGCAAGGCAAGCTTCAGAGTCTCCGGGATGATGACGAGGCCATTCCAGGGACAAGTCCGGGCACACCGAAGCACGTCAGGCGCTCGGACTATTTGAGGGGAGTGACAGTTCTGATGGACCGCAGCAAGGGCCGCGAGCTTCCAGGAACTTTCAACCCCCTCATTGTCGCCGATCTCTTCAGAAAGGAATGCCAGCCTTGGGAAGATCTTGCGGCAGAGGCCACATCATCTATCGTCGATGCGGTCACCTGGATGGCTCTCACCGTCCTCCACCAGGTCGCGTTAGCTAAAACAGTCGGTGGCATCTCCTCGATTGTGGAACAGGGCATTGAGGAGCGGCAGCAGCAGCTGAATACGAAGGTCAAGGAACTCCTAGCTCCCCACTATGAGGGCCACCCAATCACCTACAATAACTTCCTCACAGACATGGTGAAGAAGGCCCAGAAGGAGCGCCGGGACAAACGTCGAGCAGAGGCCCTCAAAGAGGTGATAGAATCAGCTATTTCAGGCGCCAAGAACCGTCGCGCGCTCCATTCAGCCATCGAGCAGGGCGACTCCCCGCCATCTAGCCCCTTGGGCTATGTTGACATTGGGGAGGTCATCCAACTTCTGAGCCAGCTGGAAGGCAAGGAGACCGACCTGGAGGAGGAGGCAAGCGGTCTGGCGACCGACTATGCCGAGGCGTACTACAAGGTCAGTATCCATCTATTCTCTGCTGAAGGACAGGTTATCTCCCATGACTGATCATGGCCAGTCTGCTTACATGGAACCTATCTTAACGCTCGCAACAGGTTGCCTTGAAGAGATTCATTGACGAGATTGCCAACCTTGCCGTCGAACGACAGCTCATTCGCCACCTGCCGAACCTCTTCACACCTGAAATGATTCTGGAACTTACCGACGACCAAGTCTCAACGCTGGCCGCGGAGGATGACCAGGCCATTGCTGAGCGCGATCGCTGCCAGAAGCTCCTCACTGCGCTGCAGAAGAGTCTGGACGACCTCCGGCGCCTGCAAAGTGCCCGCATCGACATCAAGCGTCCGCAACTCAGCCGTGAGCCCCCACCTCCATTCCTTAGACCGTCGCAGGCCACCCTTGGTGGATGACCTCCCTCCCAGTCGCAACGAACGGAATTCTTGCTAAGCAGCTCACCGCAGGCCCAGTCATCCCCGCAGCCACAGGTTCAGCAGGCGCCTCTGACGCACGCCGGCCATCAACCCCGCCAGCGCCTAGCAACAGCTCCCAGCCAAGCAACAGGGAAGAGACTCCAAAGTCCACCAGTCCGGAGCGTCGCTGGCGGAATCCAGAAAGCCCCAATCCCGCCACAGCCGGTACAGAGGTTTCGCCACCTGCTGATGGCGAGCACGCCCAACCGGCTAGGAAGACACACCCTAGGGCGATTGGTTTTTCATGGGGGGATTGGGGCGTGGCTCCGAAAAAGGAAGAGCCGGAAACCTCATCGCCGGTGGAATACGAACGAGATGACGAGCCCGCCCTGGAAGCCGTCAAGACGCTGTCTTTTAATTGGAGTGCCAAACCTGGCGTCGAGGCTCCCGCTAGCATTGAAGATAACTGGTGTCTGGGGAGCTCGAAGAAGGGTAAAAAGAAGAAGAAAGCCTTGGAAGCCTTTGCGGCGGAGTTTGTTGATAATTGATGTTGGTAGGCTACTAGTAGCAGGTAATCACTCAACTAGCACTCCCGCGCTGGAAATATGCATATTTTAGCAAGTGATTGAGTCGGCACAGAAGGGACTGAAAGACACGGCCAGAAAAGTAACGTGGAAGCCAGAGATGCATTTGAAGCGGACATTTCGTTTGTAGGCAGCGAGCAACGAGCCACCGGGAATACGCATCAGCGGATAATCTGTCCCTCCGTCGGGTCGGTAAGGAGCCTCGATCTCCACCTGCGATTGGTAGGTGGGTGGGTAGGTCCCCTCCCGGCTTTGGGCCTGCGGGCGCGAATTTAAGCAGCAGCTCCACTCGCGGGGCAGCAACAGGCGGCAGTATTCGCTGCACCCCGCACATAAAGGGTTCTAACCTTCCACAACAGGTAACAGCTTCGCACCCGCACCCATTGCAGCCTTTACAACATCAACCCAGGGCGTAGCCCTCTTCACGCGCTGAAGGCGTATGCGAAAGCCCATAGTTTCGAAATGTCAATTATGGACTCCAGCAAACTCTACGCCCTCCAAGAGGTCCCGGGTAAAGGCCTGGGCCTCGTCGCCACCACCAAGATCGCTAAAGGCACACGCATCCTCTCCGAAGCGCCTTTGTTCCGGGTTCCTCAATCCACGATCTCCAAGAAGCAAGTGTGCGACTCTCTGTCAAAAAAAGTCGCCGCGCTCAGCGACGATAAACGCCAGGCTTTCTTCTCCCTCCGCAATTCCTTTGAGGATGAAGCAACCCGGGAGCTAGGCATTACCCGTACCAACGCGCTGCCCATTGGATCCAACGCGGCGACGGGCGGCATCTTCCTCGAGGCGTCGCGTATCAACCATGCCTGCCTCCAGAACGCCCAAAATACCTGGAATGAGGGCCTCCAGCAGCTCACCATCCACGCCATTCGCGATATCAACCAGGGCGAAGAGATTACCATCATGTACATCGAGGACCGCGCGAACCGCGCCGCACGCCAACGCACTTTGCAGCGTGATTTTCGCTTCACCTGCTCCTGTCAACTCTGTTTGCTCCCTCCCTCCCTCCGCGCTTCCAGCGACGCGAGACTGGACGAGATTCAACGGCTAGACAAGTCTATCGGCGACGGAATACAGATTACCGCTTCTCCTCTCCAGGCCCTGCACAACGTGCGCAAGCTGCTGAAGCTGTTTGAAGAGGAGGGTCTCCAAGATGCAAGCGTGTCCCGGGCGTACTACGACGCCTTCCAGATTGCTGTCGTCCACGGCGACAGGGCACGGGCAAGAGTCTTTGGCGAGCGAGCCGCCGCAACTCGGGCGATAGTGGAAGGCGACGACAGCCCCACAGTCCGTCGAATGAAGGACCAAGCCAGGGACCCAACCCGGCACCCGACATACGGCCACTCTTCGCGGTGGCAAACCTCTACCGACGACATCCCTTCCAGTCTCTCGGCCGAGGACTTTGAAACTTGGCTGTGGAGGGAAGAAAAAGAGATACCGCAGGAGCAGCCGCAGCACGCCGGTCTCCGCGACGAGGCAACGTTCCCTTCCTTTAACGAGCTGCCGGAGGAAAACGACCTCGACCTCGAATTTTACGAATCCACCAACGGGTTTTCGTACAGCCCGCGCAAGCACTGGTGTTTCCTCGCCGAGATCATTGACATCGAAAACTTCCTGCGCCTGAGGCTCATCGTCAAGGACGGGGCCGGACATGATGCGGTCGTCGCGTTCTACACCCCCGACCGCGGCCGCGAACTAGACCCTTCATGCATACGGAAGGGCTTTACTCTAGCCATTCTTTACGCGGAGCAACATGGGTTTCTCGACATGTCTACGGGAATCCGACTCGAAGATCCTACGGTGCTGAAGGTACGCTTCTATCTCTAGCGGGCAACGCTAATCCACCTTACGCTAATTTAATTTGATAGATCTTTCCGGTTCAACTGAGGGATTTATTCACCCTGAGTGACAAGGTACAGCAGTATGCTGGCGCGGTAAACGGCGAAAGGACCTGTCAAGGGTGCGGCCGCAAAGCGACGACATTGAGCAAGTGCGGCAAGTGCACGCTCTTCTGGTACTGCGACAAAGTACGTGGGGCCCCTTCGTTAGCTGCAAAACCCGGAGTGTTCTAACTCGGCGTGTCAATCAGGAATGCCAAACCATGGCCTGGAAAAACAAAGGTCACAAAGCGGATTGCAAGCTGCTCAAAGATCGGGATCTGCAAATGCTACTTTCCCTGAACAAGGAGGGCTTCAAGCAGCATCTTGCATTTTCCGTTGGCTCATGAGGGGATACTGAGCAGCTCCAGCGGACAAGGTGTGGTGGCGTGGCGCCTTGGGAGCAGCTGAGCCACGGTGGCTGGGGGCCTATGCCTGTGGGTCGTGGCCCGTGCTCGGCCGCCTGGGTGAACCCCTCCACGAGGGTGTATTCATCGCTTCTAGATAGCCATGTCAACCTCGCGTTCATTGCAACCCTGTTTCTTTGCCGAGATCGATCCCTAACAGCAGACTCATTGGGCCGATTTCCTTTGGCACCGTCCGGGCCCCGACAACATCACCGACACGCCAACCTAGAAAACGGAGGAGCTGGCTAGCGGATTCGCAGGGGGCATGAAGGTGCCTTGCACCTGAACAGTGACTTTTGTCCTTGCTGCCGAGGCCGCCCAAAACGGCGGCGCGGCCCATTCCCGACTTTTTCTGTAGGTAGCAAGCAACGAGCCACCCGGAGCGGGAAGGAAAGAGGTAATGCACATCAGCGGATAATATATCTCTCCGTCGGGTCAGCATACTGATAGCGAGCAGCCTCGATCTCCGCCTGCGGCCCCAAAGATGCTGGGCGGAGCCTATCCTCACTGGATTCATTGTCATCTTGACAAATTCTCGGAGTATTTGTCGATTCTTAACCCATTTTCCTAATAGCTGATGCGCAAAGATCCTTCCGCATTCGGCTCCTTGTATCATCACTCTCCTCCTCTGATCCCTAACTACTTAGCCACTTTACTTTAAACTAATGATTTGTGTTTCTTTATGGAGATCTTTCTGTAGTTTACTTTTAAATATCACACACACGAGAGTGTTATTTGTCATAGACCTCGGGCCCTGCGATTTATTCGGAGCTGGCACGGCGATGGCCACCGTGTAAGCCTTCGGTTGTGCAGATTCATCGTCCCCGGGCGGGCATATCACAACATCATGTAGAAGGGATCACCGCTTTGACCGGTAAGCATATGGAGGTACCGCGTGAGTATATAAAGGAGCGGAGATTGCTATGTCTGAGTAGCCGTTCGTGCTCACAGTTCATCGCAAACAAGCAAGCAAGCACCCCCCTCTGCATATAGAACAACAACAACAATGCTCACCACTCAGACACTTTCCTTGGGCTGGCTTGTCGCCTCGAGCGCGGCCATGGCCGTGCGAGAGACCACTCCGAGCAAGAGCTGCGTCCAGTTCGAGGTGCCCATACACGTGGTGGCAACCAACAAGCACTACAGCATGCCCCGGGTCGACAACAACATCGACTTCGTCGACTGGTCCCTCAACTTCAGCATCTGGATGGCGCCCAAGAACAACGCGGAGCGCATCCTCAGCGACGTGTTCATCAACCATTCCTTTAGGATCAGCGCCCAGCTTTGCGTGCCGACGCAGGAGACGGACAAGGCCGACATCCTGCAGATTGCTGTGCACGGAAACGCGTTCGACAAGCGGTATGTCCACGTTCCACGAGATCCAGTGCGCGATGGAGAAGGGCGGTAGTTCTAACGAGATGTCCTCCCGCGGCCAGATACTGGGACGTCCAGGTCAAGCCCGAGGAGCACTCCTACGTCGACGCGGCCATCGCCAAGGGGTACTCGATCCTCACGTGGGACCGCATCGGGACCGGCCAGTCCGAGATCCCGAATGCGTACGACGAGGTGCAGCTGACGACCGAGATCGAGATCCTGGCCGGGCTCACCAAGCTAGCGCGCGAGGGCAGGCTGCTCGGCTCCGCCATCAAGACGGACGGCGGCGCGGTGGCGGAGCCCAGGCCGTCGCGCATCGTGCACGTAGCGCACTCGTTCGGGGCGTACCTCACGTACGCCTTCCTGCTCAAGCACCCGGAACTCTCGGACGCGGCGCTGCTGTCGAGCTTCCTGCCCAGCGGGACGCAGCTCGGGGCCGTCAAGGTCGTGACGTTCGAGCACGACTACGCGGCCGGGCTCGACCCGGCGCGGTTCGGCGGGTTCGGGTCTGGGTACTTCGTACCGACATCGCTCAACGCGCTGCAGAAGCTGTACTTCACAAAGGGCGGGTTCGACGAGGAGCTGCTGGCGTACGCCGAGGAGATCAAGGGGCCCGAGGCCGCGGGGCTGTACGCCTCGGACCACCAGATCCAGTACGCGACCAACGATCGGCTGTTCGGCGGTCCAGTGCAGGTAAGCGGGGATTGTCGCCTAGGTGTGCCTTGTGATGTAGACCGGCGAGGCGGGGTGCTGACACGGCCGGCTGCTTCTAGATCATCATCGGCGAGAAGGACTTTCCCCTCTGCAACGGGTACTGCCCAGGCACGTTCAGCGAGACCGACATCAAGAACAACAACTTCCACAACGCGACGGCCCTGGAGATCAAGGTGTTGGACAACACGGCGCATGCGCTGGCGCTGCAGAAGAGCGCTCGAGCCGGGTACAAGCTCATGTTTGACTTTTTGTCGGGGCACGGGTTCTAGGAAGCTGCTAGGCAATGGAGGTGATGGGGGGTGCTGACGAGATGCAAGGCAAGTCTGCTTCAAGGGGTACACACGAGAATCTTCTTCTTTAGCGCGAGCCGCTTTTCCACAGGCGGGGTTAGTATGTATTAGCCGAATGGACCGCGAAGCCGTTCGCTGGGGTCGAATGGAATAGAATTACCTATCTCGGTAGCCACCTTGGTGGATATGTGCGTGTTGCTCGAACCTGTAAGGTCCAGATTTCGCAAAATATGCAATCGGCATGACGGTCTGCTTGAGACGGCCGGATATATGCGCTCGTCAAATGCAGAAGTGGCCTGCCCGGGACTTTCCAATCCAATTGTTGAGGGAAAGCGAGCGCACCCAGGATTGGTCTCCTTGGGATATGCGGAGCCAGTCTTCGCCTTACGAACTTGGCCCTATCAAGATGGACCAGTAGGCGGCCCGCCGGCCGCCGCCGGCATGTTCGGGATGCTCAGTCGCTTTCGGAGACTTGTAAGGGCCCGATCGAGTTTAAAGCGTGATGCTAAGAGGTTATGCTGCCCCCGACGCAAAGCCTCGGCCGAGAATTGCCGATTGATGGTGCCCGGAGTTTGACATCAACATCCATCCGTCTGACGGGCGCGGCGCGGCTGACATCAACTGGCGCACCCAGCAATCCACCTCCTTCCGGGGTGACTCAGGCGGCAGCTTCTACCCTGGAGGTAGCCGTGTGGGGTGAGGTTAATCGCACGGACTTGGACGGTGGAGGAGAGTTTGGCGCCAATTTGCCGACTGGCCTCCACGTGTTTCTTGTTCGCTAACATAGTGAAGTGACGGCCCACTAGCTCCATCCTCAAGCTGTTCGTGCTAATAGAAACCGGCATCCGTCAGTTGATGTCCTCCAGATACCATCCTCACACATATCAGTTTAGAGTGCACTCAAATCAGCCACCATGCCGTACATCGCGGCATCGCCCCTCTTCCTCGTCGCGCTCTCTGCCGCTGGCGCCTACTGCATCATGGGCCTGGCCTGGCGCAGCGGCCTAGGCGACCTGAACGACAAGATAGCTGCCGAGTTCCCCACGCGGATGCCCGGCTTCGACACAGATGGCACGCTGGCCTCGCACTACACGGGGAACGCTAGGGTCGACCAGCAACTTGCCGGCATCGTCCGATTCTTTGCCACCATGACCAGCGGCGAGCTCCAGCCCCTCAGCCTGTTCTCCTTTTGGTTTTCGGGTCAGGCCCTGGCGGGCCTGGTGATAATGACGCTCGACGGCCTACGCGCCGGTAACCGTGGAAAGGCCATTAGTTAGTATGTGGCCATGCCGCTCTGGTCGTGTTCCGTGGACCGGCTGTTTCTCAAATCCGGGCGTTCCGCTGACATTGACTGATCACATCCAGCACCGCGCTCTGGGGCCTGTGCTACCAAACCATAACCTATGGCATCACAATCCCCATCTACGTCGCCGTCTGGCTGTGGACTTCCCCCCTGGCTTACATGACGGCCACCGAAACCCCTGCCCGTGAGGTCGCCGCGGCCCTGGCCCTAGACGATGCCGATCTCTCGGTTATGCCGCACGCACTAATTTGGGGCTACATCCTGCCCACCCTGCTGGCCGGTCTGCCTAGCCCCGCCGTCGTGTCGCCCGAGCAAAAAAACAACTACCTGTTGATCTGGCAGCTCTTCCCCGTCTGGACCAGCCTCGTGCAGCTCCTCCTATCCACGGCCGCCCGTCGCCTCCGGCCCCGCCCGGGCTCCGAGGCGGCAGCCGCCACGGCCACGGTCGAGGGCCAGAAGAAGGCCCTCACGCACCGCCTGCGCTGGGTCTACATCTTCACACTCACCGTCACCACTGTCATCCACGTCTTTGCGGTGCTGTACGCCGTCGTCCCATCGCTGCGGCCAGAGTCGCTCGCGCCCCTGGATCCTACAGCCGTCACCCTTGTCAACACCTTCAAGCCGGCGCAGACCCCCTTCGAGGCCGTCCGCCCCGTCAAGTCACTCGCCGACGGGATCCTGCTACTGCTACAGTACGATGTTTACTTTGCCGGCGCCGCCTTCCTCTACTGGGCGTCGTGCCAGTTCCGTGCCGCCACCGAGGCCCCTACCTTGTCCAGCGTCCTGATCATTCTGACTGGGCCAATCGGGGCTGCGCTCACGCTGATGTGGCGTCGCGACGAACGCCTACTGCTTGACAATGACGAGCCCAAGGTCAAGACGAATTAAGAGCGACTTCCATTGCTGTTGGATGTGAAGGGATTTTGGGTAATGGTTTCCTGTTCCACTTTCGGCCACCATTCAGAGACACACACTGGAATTGCGGCCAGCATTTCAGCGTATAGATAAACACAACTCTTTGCATCAAATCACACTTTCAATCAGGGGTACTTTTGCGACGTCTCTTCCGGCTGATCACGTGTGCGTCTCCTTTGACATCATCTAGCCCCCGCTAGCGACATTGATGACATCACTACGCGTGCAAAGACACGAGGACAAAACCTCACCAATGCCGTATTCTACATTTCGGCGTCCTGCTAAAGCGACGACACATCATCACAGACGAAAGAGGAATCTTCAAAATGGCCTCTTCCCTCAGAATCCTGAGCAAGCGCCCCTCTCCCCTGCTGTCCAGCAGTCGGGCGACGCCTCCCCCACCCGCCAAGGGTGCGCTGCTTCTGCCCGTTAGCGACCGCCGCTTCGTCCACGTCGGAGTGAAGAGCGAGACCACGCCCGCTCCAACCAAGCCGTCGGAGTCGCAAGCAATTCCGCTCGGCGCGTATTACGAGTACATACTCCACGAGCCGCAGCCGGTGGACAAACAGAAGCACTACGAGCCTCCATCCTCTGCCGCCGCGGATGCCGAGGCGTCCAAGGCCTCTGAGCCTTCTAAACAATCGACCTGAGATCGGCTCTGGGCCTGGCCCTGGCCCTGGAGTTAAGTGCTGAATGTGCTTGGAAGTCTTCTTTTTTTTTCGCCAGGGAATCGCTAAAAGGAGACGTGTTGGTTATCGGCACGCCTGATAAATAATGGAACGGAGGCAAATGGTTGTTGTATCTTCTGTGCCGGTGGTCTGGATGGGAAGTCAGACAGGCATCATATTAAGTTACCTCGAGTGGCTTTGTACCTTGCAGTCCAGCCATAAAATTCTGAAATATCCTGAAAACCTCCGACCACGATCTTGTACGAGCACATCTTCCATCAAAATGCCCGGGGCCAGCGGTAAAGTCGACACGGCAGCGGCCGCGGCAGCGCGGCAATACCATCAGACTGCTCAGGCCTTTCAAAGACGAGCCTCTCTATCCCGCCAAGCCACCTCCGCCAAGACGCGAGTCCGAGAGGCCCTCCGGGCCTTCTGCCGGAGAGTGGACCTCCCCTACAGCTCGGTCCATCGCCATTACAAAGCCATTCTGTCCACCGGACACCCCGCCGTGTCCGAGCGCCCCCAGGGCCGCCCGCCGTCCCTGACGGGCGCCGAGGACGCGGTCCTGCTGGCCTATGTCGCCGGGCTCGAGCGGGCCGGCGTGGTCGTCAGCGGGAGGATGGTGGTCGCGCGCGCCAACGAGCTGCGGTCGCTGCGGACGCCGCCCGCCGGGCCCGTCGACAAGAACTGGCACGCCCGCTGGAGGCAGGACAGCGACGGCGCGCTGCGGGCCGCGACGGCGCGGCTCGCCGGGTCGAGCAGGTTCGTGGGGGATGGGACCCACAGGGTATGTGCTGTACGGTTGGCCAAGGATGTGAGGCATCGACGGGCCCGCTGTTGCGGGTTGGCCATGCGGGGCGGCTGGTGCTCTTCTTCACACACACCACAAACTTGCGAGAACGGTCAAGCATCAGCGGAGGGACGAGCCTATATACTTGCAGCAATGTCGTCCGATACAGCGCGCGTCCGCAGATGGCAGACGGTCCAGGATGGGCTGGACAAGATGTACCTCACGGATGGGCCGATGCCTACGCCGGGCGAGAATGAGGTTCTCGTCGAGATCCATGCCGTCTCGATCAACTATCGCGATACCGAAGGTGAGCATATCCGGCGGGTTGCGAATCAATAATGCGCACGCCGGGCACAAACTAACGAGGGGCACAACCGGCGTGACCCAAACGCACAAAGTTGCCAACGGCATCTACAAATCCCACCACAAGTCACTCGCCGAAAGCACCCCGTCGCCCATCGCCCCGTGCTCCGACATGTGCGGCGTCGTCGTCGCCGTCGGCCCGACCCCCTCGCCCACCTGGCAGGTCGGGGACCGGGTGGTGCCGACCTTCATCCCGGGCTTCGCGTCGGGCCAGGTGCTCGGGCCGCAGCTGGCGGCCAGCCTCGGCTTCCCCGCCGGCGGCGTGCTGCAGACGCACCGCGTCTTCCCCACGGCCGGGCTCGTGCGCGCCCCGGCCCACCTCAGCGACGGCGAGGCCGCGTGCCTGCCGGTCGCGGCCCTGACGGCCTGGATGGCCCTGTTCTGGGAGGCGCCGCTCGGCGCGGCGGCGCAGCGCGGGCTCAAGGGGCGCACGGTGCTGGTGCAGGGCACGGGCGGCGTGAGCGTCTGCGGGCCGCAGATCGCCAAGGCGAGCGGCGCGACGGGTGAGTTTTGGGGCCTAGCAAACGCGGCGGTGGTAGTTGTTGTGTGGGCGCGGCGAAACGGTCGCGGAGGCTATCAGCGCCAGGCAAAAGTCGGATACTAACACACACCCGCAAAGTCATCGTCACGTCCTCGTCGGACGCCAAGCTTGAGCGCGCCAAGGCTCTGGGCGCCGACCACGGATCAACTACAAGACCACGCGCGAGTGGCGGGGTAAGGTGCTACGGTTGACGCGCGGGCGGGGCGCCGACGTCATCTTCGAGTGCGGCGGCGCCGAGACGCTGCACCGGTCGCTGCAATGCGTCTCGTTCGGCGGGCTCATGTCGTGCATCGGCTACCTGTCGGGCACGCACGAGAAGGCCGCCGGCGAAGACGCCGCCGCCCCGAGGCCGCACGTGAACCTGCTCGCGCTGACGCGCAACTCGACCATCAAGGGCATCCTGAACGGACCCCAGGACAGGTTCGTCGAGATGAACGCGTTCCTAGCGGACAAGGGGGTCAGGCCGCTGGTGGAGCGGGTGTTTTCGCTCGAGGAAGGCAAGGAGGCAATGCAGTATCTGGCGTCGGGAAGTCACTTTGGCAAGGTGGTTGTCAGGGTCAAGGCGTGATGAGTGTGCTGTGGGGTCACGTGGATTGTGCCTGCCTCGGGCGATGCCGAAGGAACAATGCAATTGACTTGACTCTCGCAAAACTCTGGGGTCATCATCTCAGCAGGGGTCTGTGGGGACTTGTCGATGCTCCACATTGATGTTCGCAGAAAACGCAACACGAGCCAAGCAGATTGGCATTGGAGCAGATGGAATATCGGCTCATGCAATTTGTTCTCCAAAAGCAAAAGTTCATGTTGTCGAATAAAGAGCTTTGCAAAGCAGACAGACGAAGCGTCAGCACTTGGTGTAAAAATTAGGTCAGAACTGGACGATGGCACAGGCCCAGGTGAGTCGAAACACGGCGAGGCCCCAAGGTGCCAGGCCACCCTGGCCTCCAGCACATGGAGGCCACGTCAAAACGGTCCAACGCAAGGGCTCAGGGGGCGACTCGACGGGAATGGATGGCGACCCCAGCCTGGGTTGGCGCCGCCTCAGCACGCGCTCTGGTTGGCTCGGGGAACAAAAGAACCCCTGAAACGAGCTTGGGGGAAAATCAGCAGAGGCGGGAATCGTGCCATTTGCCCCGTCGCGCGTCGGATGCTACTCTACAGGACAGGCGGCTTCGAGACCGCGATTGAAGTTGGGAGACGTCGTTGAATTGCTTCACACCCGCCGTGCAGATCATCGTCCTTGTCGTCGTTTCGTTCGTCCGACCTGCACGCCTGGCTGTGCCACCAACGCCTAAACACCCGACCTGACCTGTGGCCTTCTCCAGAGGCAGATCAACGCCCCTTCACCTGCTCCAAGGCTCCACGACCGTCGCAGGCGGCACAGCATAGGCCGTACGCAACGAAGGCTCTCGAGCCATGTAGTCGCTCCTTCACGTGCACCATCACGCATTCGTCCCATTCTTACCCTCATTGAATCTTGACACTTGGTCTATCTCATTGTCTGACAGTCCACGTGACTGCACTTTCCTTTCTCGCGCTTTGTCTTGCTGTCGGGCTCTCCTCACGGACGGCTGGCTGTCTGCTGACAGAGGGAGACGCACACGGCACCGCCGCATCCCCACACCACTTGCTATATACCTATATATATATCTCCATCGCAGCCATGGACCCGGAATCACAGAACCGGGAGGAGCGTGAGGAGCTGCTAGCCGGGCATGGCGGCGAGCATGAGCCCACGCGGACCCGCCGCGCCGCGCCTCCGGCCCCGGTCAAGCGGCTCTCGGCGCCCGTGATGATGGCCGTGTGCGCCGTGTCGATCCTCGCGCTGGTGGGCTTCGCCATGCCGTTCTGGGCAACGACCCAGTCGAACCCGCCGACGTCGTCGTCGGGCGGGTCCAGCGCCGTGGGCATCTCGACGCGGCCCGCCGGGACCGGGACGGCAGTGGCGGTGACGACGACGGCGGCCCCCAGCACGACGACCGCCGCCAAGGTCAGCAGCCCGACGGACATGATCCCCAAGGATGAGTTCTTTAATCTGGACGTGAGCAAGTCGGGCTTCGTGGTGGAGAACAAGCCGCGGGCGCGCGAGTACGAGTTCAACATCACGCGGGCGCTAGGCGCGCCCGACGGCGTGGTCAAGCCCATGATCCTGGTCAACGGGCAGTCGCCCGGCCCGACGGTCGAGGCAAACGTGGGCGACGCGATCCGCGTCATCATGTACAACTCACTCGAGAACGAGACGGCCACCATCCACTGGCACGGCATCGACCAGCGCAACACGGTCTGGATGGACGGCGTGCCCGGGGTGACGCAGTGCGGGATCCCGCCGGGCAAGAGCTTCGTGTACGAGTTCACGGTGCCCAACCAGCGCGGCACCTTTTGGTACCACGCGCACGTGTCGGTCCAGTACACGGACGGCCTGTACGGCGCCATCGTCATCCACGACCCGGACGAGAAGGTGGCCGAGCACCACGACGACCGCCTCGTCTTCATGGGCGACCTGCACCACCAGTACAGCGGCGACCTCCTAACGCAGTACCTAAGCAAGTCGCCGAGCTACGCGCCCGGCTCCGCGGGGACGGAGCCGTACCCGGACAACATCATCATCAACGGCCAGCACCTCTCCAACTGCACCAAGCCGTCCTCGGACGAGGCCACCGCCTTCACGGGTGAGGGGTGCTCCGGCGGGTCGCGGCACGTGGCGCGCGTCGAGGCCGGCAAGACGGTGCGGCTGCGCCTCATCAGCCACAGCTCCAACACGCCCTTCCTCTTCACCGTCGACGGCCACGTGCTCGAGATGGTCGAGATGGACGGCGTCGAGATCCAGCCCGTCCAGACCACGGTAGTCTTCCTGAATCCCGGCCAGCGATACTCGGTGCTCGTAAAGGCCGACAGGGCCCCCGGCAACTACCTGATGCGCGCCGTGGCCACGTGCGCCATGCTCGACAACAGCCCGGGCTCGAACCTCGGCACGGTCGGGTCCCAGGGCACCGCCGTCTTCTCGTACGGCGAGGGCGTCGACCCCAAGGGCCCGCTCGTGGTCCTGAACGACTCGACAAAGGCCTCGGTCGCCCAGGAGCCCTGGGCCAAGCGCTGCCGCGACCTACCCTTTGACCTGACCAAGCCGGTGCGCGAGATCGACGCGTACAACGTCGGCGATGGGAATAAGCACTCGTTCTTGTTTAAGTTTGTCGAGGACGAGCAGGGTGTCCAGCGCACCGTCATCAACGACGTAAGTTCGGTTTTTTGGGTTTTTTGACTCCTGTTTACCTATCTTCACTCTTTCGGCCTCACACCTAACCTCTCCCGCCACCGTCCAGACCATCTACTCGGACCTCCCCAGCGGCGCCACGCTCTGGCAGGTGCCGCAGCAAGACATGAAGCAGCAAAACATGAATTCGTCGGAGCCCAAGTGGGCGTGGAAGCCCGAGCAGCACGTCTTCGTGTCGCGCGACGAGGCCATGGGCGCGCAGGTGGCCATCAGCGCCGGCAACATGATGGGCCACCCCTGGCACCTGCACGGGCAGCAGTTCCAGGTCGTGGGCTGGGGCAAGGGCATATATGGCAAGCGCGAGACGACGTGGAACTTCAAGAACCCGGTCCGCCGCGACACCGTCACGGTGCCGGGCCACTCGCACGTCGTCATCCGCTACGTCGCCGACAACCCGGGCGTCTGGGCCCTGCACTGCCACATCCAGTGGCACGCCGAGGGCGGCATGTTTGTGCAGACGGCCCAGCGCCTGACCAAGCTCCAGGACATGCTCAGGGACCTGCCAGGCTTTGGCGACATCAAGTACCGCTACTGCGGTCCGACCCCACCCCGGTCCATCGATGGCCGTTAGCGACGGGAGGATGGCCGATATCGTGGGTCGGTGGTGGGGTTGCCTGAGGAGGTGTGATTGATCTGGCTCGGCTTCGCGGCGGAAGACGCCCCTGGGCCGCTGGCCGGCTCGTTGACAGCCGAAGCTCCTCGCCATATTTGTACATAGAGCATCGTTTTATTTTTTCTCAGAAGCATGTTATATCTATATAGACCTTTATTCACTTTTTCAACTAGCCGGCTCCTCCTACTGCAGCTTGACGGGCATCTTAACGTGAGGCAAGCGCGGACCTCGGATAAGTATAATCCTAGTCTTTTTTTCCTGCATCAGTCCTCGCAGATATCTTCTACACCCTGACGGAGACGTCACCGAGTAAGTTTGACGGGCCCGGCGGTGAAAAATCGGCGCGGGCTAGCTGGGCGGAATACTACCTTCCCTTCCAGTCACCGGGTCAGCCGCGAGCCGCCCACTGCTGATCGGTGTGTGGGGGTGTCGTCGAGTCGAGACTTGTCAAGATAGTCTGAATGCGACCTCGTAGATTGCTGCATGCCGACAAAGAAAAAGACTTGCATGATCGACACGCCAGTCGACTGCAGCCATACTGGTGGATTATGACACGTTTGTGCAGGTTGGTCCTGAGTGGGCGGTCATCCGCCAAGACCCTCCCCCTCCTTCGAGCCCCATGCTCCCCTACCCAGACCACCACAGAGTGCTTGGCGCGCGTGCAGCAGCGGAGAGAGGGGAAGGAGCGAAGCAGCCAAGCAGCACAGAGGACCGGGCGCAGTCTGCTGAGCTTTCCAGCTGCCGCCATGTGGCATGGGCGACGGTATCTGATTTGACGACTGTAGCCGGCAGCCGACATGCAGCACAAGCTTTTTTTTCTCTTAATTATGCTCGCCCTGAGGACGAACGAACCCCCACGGCTCCAAAAACACGACAGACGCGCGCCCGATGCATGATGCCGTTAAACCACCACATATCGCCCTTGACGTGCCGCGCTGTGGCTTTCGGGAAAGGCGGCACACCCGGCAGAGAGTTTACCAACCGACGGGGGTCCGCCACCCCTGATCCCGAGCTCCGCGATACTACACACGGATACCACCTCCCCCGAGCAGAGGGGGCTGCTCGGTTCGGACGTCGCACACGCAGGGCCGATATTGCGTCTTCTCCGCAGCGCACGGTCGCATTGCGGAGGAGGAGGAGGGGGTGGCCCTATGACCAGACGTGTCTCTCCTGATGTCTGGCCCAAAGATGCTGGACTGCCCCGGGTATTTGAGGCGGAGGCTGCGCGCCTGAACGGGAGGGCTATAGTGCTCGTGAGAGGCAGCCCCTGTCCAGCAGTAGTCGGCCGTCCCTCCCGCTCCCAGACAAGCCAGGCCCGTCCAACCCAGTACCCCCTTAGAAACCTCCCCTTGCGTTTCTCGCCTTTGTTGGCCCAAGAACAAGACAAAGCAAAAAAAAATCAGCAAGGATGCGCACCAGCGTCGCACTCGCCGCCGCGGCGGGCGCCCTCCTGGTGCAGGCGGCGCCGTCGGCCAAGAACTTCATCTACGTGGTGCCCGACGGCTTCGGCACGGCGTCGCAGACCATGGCGCGCGACTACGTGTCGCTGCTGCGCAACGGCGGGAACCCGGGCAGGCCGGTGACGTTCCAGCTGCCGGCCGACAAGCTGGTCATGGGCAACGTCCGCACCCAGGCCAGTGACAACCTGGTGACCGACTCGGCCGCGTCGGCCACCGCCTTTGCGTGCGGTATCAAGACCTTCAACGGCGGTAAGAGGGACTAGCATGTTTTTTTTGAGAGAGAGAGTGTGTGTGTGTGTGCGTGTCGTGAGGAATTTGCTGACGCTTCCTGTTGCAGCCCTTGGAGTCAACGATGCGCGTGAGCCTATCGGTTCCATCCTCGAGGCCGCTCACCTTGCCGGCATGAAGACGGGCCTGGTTGTGACGAGCGTCATCAACCACGCGACACCGGCTGGTAAGTTATCCACCGACGGCGGGACAACAGTGAGAGTCTCGGGCTAACACCTCACGCCGTGCTTCAGGCTACTCTTCCCATGTCTCAAGCAGAGACTCGTATTCCAAGATCGCGGAGCACCAGATAGGGTACAGCCATCCGTTCGGGCCCTTTGTCGACATCCTGCTGGGTGGTGGTCGGGTGAGTTGCTCCCTGGAATCCTAAGAAGGCACATGACCAAGACTACAAGACTAACACCCCCGACAGTGCTACTACAAGCCCCAGGGCGAGTCCGGCTCGTGCAGGTCCGACGACGTCGACCTCTTCGGCTTCGCGCGGCAGAACAGCTACCACGTCATGCAAGACCGCAGCGCCTTTGACGCCATCGACAAGGGCCTCGGCTCGGTGCGGCTGCCGTTCATCGGCCTCTTCAACGACAAACACCTCATGTACGAGGTCGACCGCGCGCGCGCGCCCGAGCGGGAGCCGTCGCTGCTCGAGATGGCCGAGACGGCCCTCAACGCGCTGGACCGGGCCACGGCGTCGGGCAGCAAGGGCTACTTCCTCATGATCGAGGCGTCGCGCATCGACCACGCCGGCCACGCAAACGACCCGGCCGCGCACCTGCACGACATCGTCATGTACAACAACGTGCTCGACCGCCTGCGCTCCTGGATCGACGACCACCCGGACACGATGCTCATGTCGGCCGCCGACCACGAGACGGGCGGCCTCACCCTGCGCGGCTACAACCCGCTGCCGCTCGGCCGCGCCAACGCCTCGACCGAGGCCCTGACGCGCCGCTTCGCCGAGTTCGCGGGCCCCGACGCCGAGCGCGCCGCCTTCTTCCGCGCCGAGATCCTGCCCGCCTACGGCCTGGCCGACGCGACCGACGCCGAGGTCACCACCCTGCTGGCGTCGGGCAGCCTGGCGGCCGACATGGGCAACCTCTTGGCCTCGCGCGCCGGCGTGCACTTCTCGACGGGCGGCCACACGGCCGCCGACGTGGTGCTGTACGGCTACGCCGCCGGCGGGCGGCTGCCCGAGTACAAGGCCGACATGGCCGGCAACTGGGACAACACGGAGCTGCCAAAGTACATCGAGCGCGTGCTCGGCGTGGACATGGGCGCGGCCACGGAGCGCCTGCGCGCCAACGGGACCGGCTGGGTTGGTACGGACCGGGACAGGGATCCGCGTCTCACTGGCGTCGACCACATCCACGGTCATGATTAGACTCTGTAAACTATCCAGTACCACCTTTTAGCTTCAAAACGGGTCGGCTGTACTGTGAATAGAAAGGAAACAAAAGTTACCGTAAACAGCCCGCCGGGCTGCGTTTGCCCGCGCCATCATGGCGGGTTTCCTGTCGCTCCCCAACGAGCTTGTAGACCAGAGCACCTGTGCCAGCTGTCGTCGGGCACGTTCCAGCGGTTCCAAGTCAAGTTTCCGGAACGCTGCCCGGGGAGGTCCTCGGATGCGGGCACGAAGTACGATGGGCAGGATCGTGAATCAGATCCGGAGCCCGAGGCAAGCGATTGTCGCAGGCTGCGGGAAGAGCAGCCGTGGCGGCTGGTGTTTCCGTACTTGACCACGTGGGTCGGCGTACACGATACCATTGAGCCCTACCCACAAGTCAACGCGCAGTCGTCGTTCCTGATAGGGGATGACCAGAGAACTTATGACAAGCTACAGACCGTCGTGGCCTAGAACCGACGCGTGCTCGAAGAGAACCGAGGTCGGAATAGCGGTTCCTCCGACCAAGCTTAATGGGCTGCTAGATAGTAGAGATGTTAGGAGTCGCGACTTCCTCGAACACTGATGGCATCGTAAACATCTAGAGATGGAAATGCGGGTGATGTTAGCACAGTGATAAGATGTTACGCTTAGTTTATGTGTGGGCCGGGCTGTGACTTGGACGGAAGGGTTCGCACCGTTCGCTGACCGAATGACTTGCGATAATTGACACAGCCAAGGCAGTATCCATACCTACTTCCCTCCCTGTTTCTTGTCCGTCGATCAATGCCGCTTGGTAGACCCAGCTGGCTCCTCCCGGCCTGCAGACAAGCATACAGTAGCAAGGCAGAAAAGCCCCGACCCCACGCAAACGTTGCAAAGATCTCGGGGCGGGATCTGCTGTGACATCACATCTCGATGCAACTGGAAGCCCGTTTTCCAGAGGCTTGTTTGCTGCCGGCTATTCGGCACGAGCTGGAGGATGGAGCATTCCCCTTACGGGACACCGAATGTCAGATGTTTGTAGGAGACACAGGCAATTTGGAGCGGAATCCGGACTCTTCAACCTGCGGGGTAAGGGCCAATGAATGTGCTCGCGTCAAAATCGGCCATCCTCCCAAGCGGTAGACAAAAATACCGAGACTCCAAATAACATGACAGCTTTTGCACGACAACAACCACTTGAAAAATCACTTTCCTAACCAAACTGCGTAGGAATAAAAACTATGGGCTATTATCAGCACGCGTGCATCGGCTCTCTGCAGGTGGCGGAGCGGCAGCCAAAATAGAGCCCTTGCCCATTCATTTCATCCCCTGCGCCGCGCCGCCATGGAAAGTCAATCGACCCATCGATTCCCGAAACTCTGGGGGAAGCGGCAACGGCGCCGACGCTACAGTGAAGGTTGTGGAAGCCGAAGGCAAAAAGGGGCGCAGCATGCAGAGCTCCATGACAATAGGGATAGAATAACCCAAAAAAAGCGTGGCGAAACCGCCAACAAAAAGCCTTCGAGCGGTCCCGGGGCGAACTTTGCAGTCAGGCGGACGTGTTCAATTGCGCGCAATCACGAAAGAGGCTCGAGAGGCGGTCGTCGTCTGTCCCAAAAAGGGAGGTGAAAGGGTGAAGGGTCAGAAATACCCGGCCCCTGCCACCCCATCCTGCCCCTTATCTCGGGTTTCGGCACAGTGTGGATGCTATGTGATTGGGTCGCATCGTGGGTGAGTGTTGGGGCCAGTCTGCCTCTGGGTGTCTTCCGTGGTGCATGGTGACGCACACCATACCGTCTTTTTGTTGGAGACCAAAATGAATGTTTGCCGCCTGCCTGTGTGGGATTACGTCCAATGTAACCACGATGCTGACGGCATGATGCCACGTGAAGTTGGCTGTGGGATCCAGAGTTTGATGGGGTCAGATCGTCTCGACGGGGCCTGACGTGAGCTTGCACTTTCATGCCACCATGCCTCTCGCTGAAACAGCCTCGGGCTCCGCCTCCTAGCTGGACGCGAGGGCGTTCTTGCGGCTGCTGCCGCGGCCCCCAAAAAGAACCCAAAAAGAACCAAGACGCCACGAGCCCGTCTGCTCAGCCCAGCGCCAACACTAGCGGACAGGCTGCGGCTGAGCGGGCAAGCAGGAGAGAAGTTCACGTCTAGGAGGGGCACAAACACAACACGCACAAGGACCCGCCGCGAGATACGTTGGCTGCACCAGACAATTTAAACAGCGAGAGGGGATGTGGCTGTTTGTTGCACTGTCGGATGAATGGCACAACCTTCCCCGCGTTCCCTGCCCATCCGAGATGTCTGTTCCCCACAGCAGGAAGGCCGACAGGGGAGGGAGCCGGCCTGGGCCTGGGCCTGGGTCGGTTAAATATTCGGCGGGAAACGCTGGCATGGATAAGGGCGCGGGATTTATCCTCGAGGAAAGCACGCCGAGGTTGTTTGTGATTGCATCACGCATAGTCCCCTTGAAGAAGAAAAAAGCCTCAAGAATGAATGAACTCACCAGACAGCTGCCTTGCAGATGGACGCGTGGTGGGTGGACGGCGCATGGGATGAAATCACCCGCATCAGGGACCTCACGCATGGAAAATGCAGAGGCCACAAGGCTGGCCATGACAGCTGTCGAGCTACATCTCGTGCAGATAGATCTCTTGCATCCTGCTGCTTCTGCAGAAAGCATGCTTGGGGCTGTGGAACGTGAGAAACATTCTGTTAGTGGTTCGGGGGGCCTGTTGTCTGCAGTTCCCCTGCCCTGGACTCTAGCGATCCACCCTGATGGGACCCCCTTATTGCGCCGTGGACGCTGAGAGGTCCTGTGACGCCGTGGCCGTCGCTTCATTCGCTGTGCCCCGACATTTGGGGTTCCTCCCAATCCTCCCTCACACCCCCGAAAGCGGAATGGCCTTGCCGCTGCATACAAAAAGTCATTGCGCTTCCACAAATCAATCACCCCCCCGCCGGTGGTCGACCCCCCAGTCATTTCCAATCTCTTCAACTTTGATCTCTTGCACACGGAATCCCCGTGCGCTCGAATCTTCATTAGCCCCAAGCGCCCTCCTCTTGTTGTAGCCCACCTGCGCCTCCTCCATTATCCGCGCCGAACAGGGTCCTTGAGAAAAGAGAACAGCAATCAAAGTCGAAGGAGAGAGAACGGCAGACGCGCTGTGGGGTAACAAGGGTTGGGGTCAAAAGATCGAAAGAGGAAAAAAAGCGTAAAGCGTGTTCCTCAGGGCGCCCTTCTTTATTTTATTTTATTTATTCTTTTTTATTATTTCCCTTTTGCCTCGTCTGTTCCTGCCGACCGTCCGTCACTCCGCCTTTGCCACCCCGAACCTGAGGCGCGGCTCCCAAACCCGCCCATGTTCCATCCCGGCCCTCGGTCGACGAGCAGCCAACAGCAACAGCAGCAGCAGGGCGCCGCGCTCACCCTCCTCCTCCTCCTCGTCTCGCTCCTCCGCATCGCCCGCCTCCCCTTCCGCCGACGCGCGACCGCAGCCGTCACCATGTCGAGCAAGTCGATCCTCCCGAGCTACCAGGACCAGGTCGTGTCGTCGGCCGTCGGCGGCCGCCATGGCCGCTGCAGGGACCACCACAGCGAGAAGGCACACTACCCTCACCACCACCACAACGCCCACGCGGTGTCGCCGTCGCGCCGCAAGAAGAGCAGGTGGTGCTACTGCTACTGTCTGCCGCGCCTCCGCCACGTGCTCGTCTTCCTCGCCACGCTGCTCTTCATCTTCTACGTGACGGGCTGCCTGCACCTGTACAAACGCATCTCGCTCAAGAAGGACCACGACTCGATGCACCTGCAGACCACGACCTGGAACTTCCGCTTCTCGAGGGGGCCCATTGACGTCAGCCTCGGCACCTTTAGGACGTCGCGGGACATGGTCGAGATCAACTACCACCCTGAGGCGCAAGCGTCGCCGTCATGAGCGATACGGGCGTCGGGGTTTTCCCCTTTTTTTTTCTTCTTCTCTTGAATACATGGCAGCGCGCATCCAGACGGCGCGTGGAGGGGAGACGAACGCGAACGGCATCGACACGACGACGACGACGACAAGCGGGAGAGAGGGAGGTAGTCCGTGATGGGGTCGGGATCCGGTTGGTCACAGGGTTAATCCCCAGTTGCTACTGGCTCTCGACTCTGTGATGGCTGCAAACAAAAACAGGGTGCATATGGAGGACCACCGACGACTTGCCGATCGGCCGTGACTCGACACAAGACTCCCACGACTTTGCCACCCATCCCGAGACAGCGAGAGAGGACCCGACATCCATGTCCTCCCACCTCGTCCCATCTCGGCCGTTTCCTTTTGCTGTCCCACACCCACCTCACCAGGAGCCGACAACGCCGCCGTTTTCGACCCGCCTCGGCGTCCCGTCCGTCTTTTTTCGTCCCATGTTTGACTCCTCGCACGCGTCGAGGATGTGCCATTGCCTACTCAAAAAGAGAGCCGCACGGCCGGTTTCGAAGAAATGAACAGAACAATATCCAGATATCGGGGGAAGCAAAAACACACGAGCTTCCTTCCTAATTCCTCCACCACCCTTCACCTTTCTTCTTTGTCTATCCCCATGTAATCATTACGATACCTTCAGTGTCTGTTTGAACAACGCCGCCTTCCATGTTGGAACCGGTCACAGCCCAGCCCCTTTTTCTTGTTTCCCTGACCATATTCGGTTTCTCCTTCCTATCCATTTTCTAGAGCGGAGTCTGGCGTTTGACGAGCTCCTCCCGGCTCTAGAGAGGATGTCTCGTTGTGCAGCTCTTGTTCTTTTTCTTTTTCTTTCTTTTTTTTTTTTGCGACTCTGTTGGCTTACATCGACGCGTAGACTTTTTCTGGTCTCTGCGCGTTGATTTTCTGAGCATTTGGGAGCATTGGAGAGCGTGGCAAGCCGTCTTTATTTCTTGTTATTTTTTATCCGCATCACTCTCCCGCGGGCAAACATTGTCACTTCGCTGCAACATTTGCGCCGGCGCACAAGGACGGCGCAGACATCGTCTGCGCAACATCCCGATCCAGCCGGCCTTGGGCTCCTTTCTGCCCAGTCTCTTGTTCACATCGTTGATCGACGAGAAGCTGGGACGAACGATTGGAGACGTTGGCATCATGGTTGTGGGCCGCCAAAGGGTTGTAGCTGTATTTTTCCTGTCCTGGTTTCCTTCTGTTCCGTTTTATGTCATGGGGAGCTGTCTCGCACACATAGCCACAGACAGTGGGCCGTTCGTGCCCGGATCAGTTAGGGGTTGTCTTTAGTAGGAAGTAACCAACAACGACCG